TTAATTTATTATTTGAAAGCTAGATGTTATAGCTGCTTTAAAAATAATTGGCGAACTCAAAATTAATATTCTAGATTTGGTAATCTCCCTCTAAATTCCTCTGTTCTCCCAAATTCGAAAATCTTCTACGTTATGTAACAACGTCAAACTAACCAATTACAGACTAGCTCTACTTATGCCTCAGATTTAGTATAAATACCCTGGCGAGCTAATTACATCATTATTCTGATAGCTTCTACCTTGCTAATATTTCCTCACTTCGTTTCTCTAAAATGCCTGAACCATTTCTTGTTAAAAACCAAATGCACATAGAAATTTATCATGTTTCACTAAGATTGAATCATAGAAATGTAATGGATTTCATTATGATTGGATAAATATCTACGGAGATGATTTTATATGCTTGGAAATAAAGATGATAATTGGCTGAATTTATTTTAATATCAATATCTTCCTCTCGCCCTACCATTCAGGCATCACGACTGTGCTTCGAAAGCATCACACACACATATACGAGTGTTGGAACTTTAATAGTGGCAACTATTTATTTACAAGGAATACAAAAGTGATTCATGTCACCATGTTTTACAGTCCTTCAATATAGTCGTAGCATTGCGTACAACCCGTTTCCAACAATGTGGAAGTCGCAGAATACCTGTAGCAGCGCCTGTTTTGTTGATAGTTTGAATGGACCGGTCTACTGCCGCAAGAATCTCAGGAACAGTTTGAAAGAGAGTGCCACGAAGTGGTTCCTTCATCTTAGGAATTAAGTCATAGTCGCAAGGGCTTAGATCTGGGGAGTATGGTGGATGGTAAAGCACTTCCCAGCCCCATCGCTTGAACAAATCAGTCACAGCTTGCGCTGCATGCGGCCGAGCATTGTCATGCAAAATGAGAGGAGCGTTCTGCAGAAAGTGTCGCCGTGTTTTCTTAAAGCTGGTCGGAGATTGTGCTCCAAAAATGAGCAGTAATAGTGCACAGTGACGGTCTGCTGTGGGGGAGCGGTGTGCGTTAGGATGACACCATCACAGTTGTACACGAGAATCACCATAACTTTCACATTGCTGGGGTTCTGACGAAATTTCGAACATTGTGGTGACCCGTGATGACGTCATTCGTTTGATTGGTGTTTCAGTTCTGGCTGGTAAGATCAGCCCAAGTCTCATCCAGCGTAATGATACGGCATAAAGAAGCATCTCCTTCGCGCTCATAGCGCTCCAGGTGGGTTCGGGCAGCATCGTATCGTAACCATTTCTGCATTTCCGTCAATTGATGTGGAACCCATCGTGAAGCAATTTTTCTCATGGACAGGCGTTCCTTCAGAATGTGCAGCACAGTCGTATGTGCTAATCCTATTTGTCCATCTTGCTACAGTTCTGTAAGGCAATGCAGATTCCCCGCAAGCCTCTTGAAGCCCTTGATGACACTGTCGTGCTGTACGACCTCTGGCACATTCAATTTTTATCCAACATCTTTGTTCTTGTTTTGAAAACATCCTGACAACACTTACTTTAGACCGCGAACTAATACAAGGATCCGTTCTTCGCGTCACTCCGCATGCGCGTGATGTAGGCAGGACCAGTCTTTTTGCTGAGAGGTAAGGTAGGTATGTAGTTTCGTGTGGTATACGCGATATTCTTTGCTTTTGTTGCGTAGTGTTTGTTCAGCTGTGTTGCCACTATTAAAGTTCCAACCCTCGTATATAAAATTAATAACCTTTACTTATTAAGCATCATGTTCTTTGCATTTAAACCATAAAATTCAATTCAACAGAAATATCACAAAATATTTAAAACAGTATATCTTTGGAATTTCCGATACACAGTTTTGCATGCTGGAGTTATTTGGGCTTCCAGATGCCCATATTCGAATGGAGGACTGCATTATTCAAAATTTGATTTCTCTAGGTACGATTGTCTTTTCACAGTATGAGAAACATATATACATTCATGTAGATTCTTCATTATTTAATTTCGTTAAATATAATATTCACTAATATTCAAAAATTTGAAAAGTGAACCTAGCTAAAAAAAAAAAAAAAGATAAGAAACAGTAAATTGAATGTGAAAAAAAAAAATTACCTATATGGCTGTTATTTACATTTGAGCACATAGGTACTGTTCTGCGAAATGACTCTTAAATATCAAACATGTTATTTCATTCCTGAAACACATGTGTGGTACATGCACGCACGGGTAAACTGCCGTCACTTTTATAATTAAAAAAAAAGTCAGATTTTAAATCACATCCAAAAGTGGCATTTTTAAAACATTTTGTGTTATTAAATATCCCGTTCTTCACACTTAAAACATAAAATTTAGTTCAAGAGCAATATCACAAAAACGTTTTAAAATGAGCACATCTTTAGAATTTGCGGTACAGAGACTCACCCGTTGGAGATAAAAATGTTTTTTCTGTACAACATTGCCATTGCTCGCTTTGATATCCTTGAGTTTTTACAAAATAGGAAATCGATAATAAAACAAATTGCAGATTTCAGATTTGGTCTTTCACATGCCCATATTCGTAGGAGGATTACACGTCATTTAAAATTCAATGGCTCTATGTACTGTTGTTTTATCACAATGTGAGAAATATACATACATTTATGCAAATTTTTCATTATTTAATTTCGTTAAATATAACACAAGTTTGAAAAGTGATTTGTCATTTGTAGTGAATCGACGCAAAACAAAAACAATAGTCCTTCAGGGATAAATCCCTTTAGACTTTAAATAAATAAAGGGGTTATTTTTAATAAGAGCATTCATAATTGGCTGGATTTTAAATTATTTATTTTCCCTCTTCTCTTTGGAGATTTTATTAGATTTAAACATATCAGAGCTATGACAAATAAAAGAATAATATGGAACACTGCTGCATTTTTGGAACATTTAAATATTCAATTTTCACTAAAAAATTTTTAAATTAAAATAAAAGCAGTCAAATTAGTCAACTGAAATATGCATTACATATATGTTTATGTTATTTTAATACATGTATACATCAAAAGAAAAATCACAAAGTATGTTTATATATTGCTACAGCAGTACCTAAAGTAAGAACTGAGAAAGATATAAGAGTTAAACAGCTGCATTAAAAGTGACCAAAGAAATAAATAGCCTCTGTGTTACGTTATTGAATAGAAAAGGCAATAATATTATTATCAGAAATATTTATATTGTAATCTTTCTACTCTTTCAAGCTGTTACATTCTATTATGCTGCCAGGGCATTTATTATCTAAAGCTCATGGCATGACAACACTTGCCATGAGATTTTCAGTTTATCATCTATGCTGCTTGGCAAATAACGTTCTTAGAGACATTTATTCATTCTAGTATATCTTAAATTTATATTTAAATTAAAATTATATATTGCTTATCTAATTGATTTAATGTAATAATCGTACTTCTTCACAATTGATTGTCCATGAATTGTGCATTACATCAGTTACATAATGCTCTGCTTACTTATTTATATTATTTTCACTTATCTGTAGAAAAAAATAGCTCATGAAAAATTGGACAGTTGAGATTTATATTTGCATTTTAATAATAATCTAATGAACGTAATTTATAATCCCCATTTTGTAAAAAATATCTACTTAGAAAATAAAAATAAAATTTACACATAATTTTTATTTTTAAAAGCTTATACAAAAAGTATAAAAGACCTAGGTGAAGTATTTTATAAAAATTCCAGGTATAGTTCTGCAACTTTTTTTGTCAATAAAGAACCTGAAACAGAATCCTGTATTTCATCTAGAATATTAGTAAATGGTATGCCTAAAGCAATTTTTCTGGCCATAAAATCCTTTTCACTACTTGATAATGGACTGGCACCTAATAGCATTTTCATGTCCAAAAGATACTGTAAAATTTACTATTATGATCTTTAACTATAATGCTTACTGGACAAAATCCATTTATCTTACTGTTGCCTTATATTTTTAAATGTACCAGATCTATGGCAAATAAAAGAATATCATGGAACACTGCTGGATGTTTTAGGTGTGCTTTCTACAGTAAACTTTGAATATGTTTCTTTCTCAATACTTTCTTTTCAGTTATAAAACAGGTCTAAAGAAGAAAATTCTAAATGTTCTTTATCTATTCTTATTTCATGATAATTTTAAAAATGATGTTTTGCTTATTAAAATAGGAATCGAATAATGAACATTTATGGGAATGGCACCATGGTAATGAGGCTGCTCCATGTTTCTGCTGTTCATCAGCTTTTAAATGAAAAAAGTTTGCTGAACTGTACAACTAAAACATTTAGTTTTGCATTTTTTCCTGTAAGTCATTTAAGTCATGTAATATTGTTGGATGAACACTTGCTACATGTCTTTTTATGTTAAAAAATTTAGCATATATTTTTTTGCAATCCATATAAGAGAAACTTGAAGTCAACAGTTGATTTTCCATATCCAGGGCCTGTATCAGGAATACCTGGCCTGTACTGTGAAGTTACGCAGCTGAGATATGGCTCCTGCACCTGGTTAGGTGTCATCCTTGACCAGTTTCACTGTATATTTTTTCATGTTAGAGACAGTGCATTATCCTCCAGTGGACCGTGCACAGTAGTTTACTTGTCCCTATTGCTCCAGCTGGCCTTCTCAAGGCAAGGATAAATTAAAGACTTCCTCAGCACATCTGTAAGAGATTCGATTTCTTGAAATTGTTGTGTCCTGCAGAATCCTAATAAAACACTGGTTTTTGAAGCTGTGTCCTATGCAGTAAAGCCTTTTGATGTCCATGAAGACTCATCTTCCGGATATTATGGAGGACATACTGAGTTTTGAGTCGCTACCAAAAGCACAAACTAAGATTTTGTGGAGTAAATGAGGGAACCATCGTAAGACACCAGCTTCCACTGCATTTTCAAAGTGTACGCTATCATTGGCAGAACCAAGTAACATGCAGCTCGAATATATATATATATATTTGTACAAACATCAATACGGTTAAATTGCTTTAAATAAATAAATAATTCTCATTTTGAATAAAAAAAGCATTTATTTACATTTTGTAATAAATATGTACACATCATGGTTATTCATTGACCAAGTCCTTCAGGAGCATCAGCATCTGTTAAATACAAAAATAAACTATCAGCTGCTACACATATGTAATAAACACATCTACAAATAATAGAAAAGAATGAAAAAGAGAGAAAGTTTCCATATATTTCACACAAAGAAACAAAAGGAAACTGATATTCAGTAAAAGTGCTAACTTTTTTGGATAGTAATTTTATATCTGCATGCTTCAGGTAAAATGCTTAGGGGGGGGGAAACAACTGAGTACATGCTGCAATTCACATATACAAAAACCACAAAAATGTATGAAGCAGCCAGATGACATAAAAAATCTGGAATAAAGAAATTATGATTTTCATGAGATAAATATCCCAGATGTTCAACCAGTAACAGGATTTAAAGAACTATTCAGTAACTCATAAGTCACCTTACAAACTGAAGTAGCTGTTACTCAACAGTTAGTACAAATTCTCTGTTTCAGGAAATATCTATACAAATAATTCTCAACTTACATTAGCAGAATATTACGAAAACTTCAACACTATTACCCCGGCAAAGTTCACTGCGATCAACAGAATGAAAGTTGAAAATCCTGGCAACCAAGTAGTCTTTGCAGCTATCTTTTTTAATGTGTAAAAGAAAAAAAGGGAGAGAACTGTGAAACAATCTGTGAAGCTATTCTATCAAATACATCTCCAGCGAAGTTATTATTATTTTTATTCAATTCAAACATCCATCATCTAACTCCATTAGATGTTCAATTAGTTAACTGTCAGTCATCTAACCCATAATTATCATGTTCACCAGACCTTGTTTCAACTCTGATGTCAAACAAAACACCAAATATATAACAGGATGAAATGTATAATTTATCCTGATTTGTCTAATAGCATTACATAGCATATGAAATACATTTTTAACACATAACCTGCTTTCTTGACCTAAGAATGTTGTTTGGTAGTAATAATCAGTGGTTGCTGAGCCAAATGCTTCCTCTAATTGCATTAATAGACTAGTGACACCTTGACAGACCTGCCCTATGATGTTAACTGGCTGTAGCAGTTTTATCATGCTGATTACAGTGATTAATAAAATTACAATTTTCAGTCATAAAGATGACACAGTTGATTATTAAATTTACATAAGGTTGATGATGGATGACTTATAATCAGCCAATTAGAAAACCCATGAGACAACCTTTGAACTAGTTTATTTATTTTATAATTTTATAAAAATTTTCTTCTATTGTCTGATATTGAATCATACCAAGTTTAACTACATTTAACTTAAAGGTCATCTCTGCTATGAAGAATAAAATTGTTGTATTCACTCTGAGGTAACTGTGGCAATTTTAATTTAAACCACATCAGAGATTCAATGGAATGCCACTTTCATCAGCATCTCTAATCAGCCACTTTGGTATAATGCAATACTTAAGGGAGAACCTTATATAAGCATGCGAATTAATTCTGCAACGAACAAAATTCTTTGGGTGAGGATAAAAATTAGCTCTTGCCTGTTTTTTTATATGGTTTCATTTAAAAAAAAATTTCAATTTGCAAATATAAATAAAATACTTCTATTCACTAATTTAATTTCACAAAATACTCAGGAAAGTTTTGAAAATGCAGAACACTTTTTTAAAACTTAATACATCACTGAGATGAACTTAAGAAACATTTTATATAAAGTGACTCTGCTTCTAAAACAATCACATAATTAAATTCCAGTGTAAAAAAAAAAAAAATAGTATTAGTCGGGGGTAAAAAATGCAAGATATGAAAATTAAGATTTTAGTCTACTGGTAAAAGGAAAAATATTATGTATACTGTAATTGCACCCCCCTTCCAAATCATGTACTGAATGCAGAAATGAAGGAAGAATACATATTGAAGCACTAATTAAATTGCAGATATATTCTCATAAAAGTATGAATGAAACTTAATTTTAACTTACTTTCTTCAACTGTTGGATAATATGAAAGATGAATCTTCGGCACAATAAGTAATGTAGGAAACTCTACAATTCTTTTCCGTCTAAAATTCTTTTTTAAACTCTTATTTTGCTTCAGTATGTAATACCTATAAAATAAAGAAAGTTTTCTCCTTTAGAAGAAACACGGCAGGCTAGAAGTCAAGCTTCCTAACAAGTTAATGCTAAGAACTTGTGAAAATAACAGATTCTTCACATAATAAAATATGAAAAAGTTAATTGTCTGCCTTTCTAAAATGAATTCTGGAAAAAATATAAAAATTCAAAGATATAGATATATAAAGTGAGATTCAGAAGTCTCAAATTCTAATTGTGAATATTATTTATTCTAATATTGGTATTGAATATGCTGTTTGGTGTAAATCGATCTCACCTTCAATGAAGTGCTCATGTGCATTACAAGGCAGAATACTAAATTCAGTGATCAGAAAATGGGGAGAAGGATAAACAGTACAGACCAATGTCTCATGTAACAAAAATATTTGCTCTGTTACATGCAGAAAGATCTGAGGAAAGCATCATAAAACAACCATATATGATATCTCCCACAAGACTTTGAACAAAGGGGTAAGAAATGTATGTCATCAAATGAATTAGGGTACTGAAGAATATGGTGGTCATTTCTAACATCAGAAAGATACTTTATGTTCACTTTTACCATTAAATAACCATTTCAGTCCCAGGAATATTGAAAAATACACTGTCGAAGAATCCCAAACAGCGCAACTGCACTTTCTCTAAATGAATACGAAAAGACCCAAGCAAAGGGGATACAGCTTATTTCATTTTATAGAGAAATACCAAGCAGCGCGATAACGCTTTGTTTATTTTGTATCGATGAATTGAAATCGGAGCAATAGCGCTTCTTGTATTTGTTAGGTAGCATGATTCTCGTCTTTTTCTCATTGCTCCATCATATTCACTGCAGTTTGCAAAGCAATTGGACGTATTCTTGCGTGTTTCCCATTTTGTCAACGATGTTCGAAATTTGCTGGGTTTTCTCGAAATAAAAACTCAACAGCGTGATCACAGTGCTTAGGACTCAAAAAGTTAATAATAATAACAGGGTTATTATGGGTTCAATATAAAAAATTCAACATGTGACTATTTCAGTTTAAACATTCGAAACTTTTATATCTGTTGTACTTTATAAGCATATTCGTTTTTAAAAAAATATCATTTCAAATATTAATTTATTTTAAACTTCAAAAAATAAAATTTTTAATGATTTCAACTAATCCTAAATAATTGTAAAATAAATACTTCAAAAAATAAAAAACAATCTGAAAGGTTTCAGATATAAATTATGTCCGAAGGGGCATCTTTTCAACATTTTATGTTACCTTTGTTTATTAAATATGATATTCTTTGCACTTCAGTTCAACAGCAATATCGCAAAATAATTTTAAATTGAGCATATCTTTAGAATTTCCAATACACAGTTCTACATGCTGGAGATAAAAAGGTTTTTTCTCCTCGTAGAGCATTGCCATTGTTCGGTTTTAAATTGTTGAGTTTGTTAATCAAAAATTTTACAAAACATGAAATAGATAATAAAACAAGTTCTAAATTTGAGCTTCTAGATGCCCACATTCAGGTGGAAACAAATATTATTCAAAATTGGATAGCCCTAGGTACCGTTGTTTTATCACAATGCGAGAAACATACATACATTTATGCAGATTCTTCATTATTTAATTTCTTTACATATAATACAGGGTGATAATATTTGGTGGCAACAATTTGAAAAACCCTTCAGCGGAAATTGCCTTTTTGGACTAGTAAATACTTTTAACATAAATCTTTAAATAGAGTTAAGATTGGATATCCAAAACAATCTTAAAAATAACTTTTAATAACTCTTTGTTACTAGAAAGAAGGCAATGATTTAAATCAGTAATATACCAAATGGATATATGATGGATATATGATTTATATGATGTTTTATAAGAAACTCAGAAACAGTTGTGATAATACTTCTATCATCATTTGAATTTGAAGAAGTTAACTTAAAAGGACTGACTAACTGTACAAAATTTAAAAGCAACACACTCAAAAATTTTGAATTTATTTTAAAACAAGTTTATTCTTTTATTAAAGTACAGGAAAAGATTATATATAATCATTAGGAATTATTTCAGATCCTTTTTAAATTAAAAGAAAATTTTAATTTAAAATTATACATCAAGAATTTACCAAACTTTAATGACTGGTAATACAAAATTTTCAGAATTAGTCATTTTCTCCATACTTTACATTTGATGAAATTTTCTTAAGATAATGCAAAACTAAGTAGTTTCTGCTATTCCAAATGGCCAAAACACTTGCAAGTTAATTCATTGGTAATGGCTGTCTCATGACTGAGAATGTTGCCTAGGATGCACTACAGAAAATGACTGAATTATAAACTCACGAGGAAAAGAATGCTCAATCACAATTTTGATACAGAATGTCCTAGGGCCCCTTTTTTCCTACCATTAAACTTCTAGAGAGGAATTTTGGCTTGCAAGTTTTTTAAGAGTCCTTATATCACACAGAAACTATGCACTTACATACATTCATGTTTTTTTAAAGACTGAAGCCTGGGCCCAATGACATAGCAACCAGCACTACAAATAACTATTTCAATCAAGTAATACCTAAACAAAGTGTAATTTAGTTTTTCAAAAAAATATGAGAAATATTTTTGAGATTCACGAACATTTTAACCCAAGTTTCATAAAGAAAATATAATCAAATGAAAAAATAATTAAATTAAATTAATATGAAAAAGTTAATATATATCATATTTTTGATAGGAAATGAAAATCTTACATTCAGTGTATATGTTATAATAAATATTTTTCTAAAATAAAAGTGATATTCTTAATCCCCCTTTTTTTGAAAATTATACACTTTTGATGGTGAAAAATTGCACAACTAAATTTATACATAAAAAGTTATCAATTAACTAACTGAAAAATATAAATTAACTTGTTAGAATACATGAAAATATACTAGCTACTGCTTAATATCAGCCTCCAGAGGAACGGTGCTTTGGTACACCAAGGTACATGGGCAAAGGCTCTACCCCTTGTAGAACAATTGTGAAGTTTTGAATGGTGTTACTGCTAAAGCGAGTACACTGATTAATATCTTATATTAGAATACTCAGTACTTACACATTACCACAACCTCCTTAGCAAAAATCACTAAATGTTCAGACTGCGAGTCCTGGCAACAATACGTATAAAAATTAATTAATTTTAACAAGCATTGCTTCCATTTTTGTAATATTTTTTTCATATTCCAATTTCAATGTTTTTATTGACAATCATGATATTTTTTATCTTGAGCTCAACCTAAAAATATGCCTTAAGAGGACTCGCATGTAACTTCAGCATACAATATTTTTATCAAAATGTGGAACAATTGTTTTGAATCTGTTTCTTAACATGAACTTTCCACCACAAGAAAAGAAATAAAAACCCTCTTGTAAATAGGTTATAAGGATTGATTTTTAGGATAAATACCCAATTAAAATGTAAAATATGTATCTACGTACTAAATAATAAAAAAATGTCTAGATTGTGCCAAGGTGACTGCGTTAATACATAGGTACCAAATATTCTTAGATAGTTTGAAATACAAACTCATTCGAAAAAAATCACTAGTAGCTGCAATTTAATAAAAGAAGATATATAATGCAAGCATACACATATTGTATGAAAATACAAAAAACAATCTTAAATAAATTCATAGCTTATGAAGAAAATTAATTCTTACTTGATATCATTGGCTGTAGTGTCTTCTTTCTTAAGTAATACTACAACTCCACTATGACCCATTGAATGATAATATTGAAGTTTATCCCTCATACCGTCCGCTTTCTCAGGCAATAAATATTTATCTAAACATTTACCTAATAATTCTTCTTCATCTATTCTAAAATATTAAAAAAAAAAGACTTTTAATAACAGTTTTTCATATTTTAAATTGGGAAGGGACTGAAAATTCTATTAACTTTTTAAAGAAATGATTCTTTCAAAAATTAACTGTATTGGTTTGAATACAACAATATATGAAACACCTATGCATTTTTAAAGATGTTTTACAAGAAAAGAAGAAGTTTGTGCATAGAAGGACTTCACATTACCCATTTTGAAAATAATATATTAAGCCCTAAAGATAATGAAACTCCAAATATTTTATATAATTTTTAATGTGACATTTATAGATTAAACATACTTGCCATGTAGAGACTTTGTATGCATCTGTTACAGTTATCTGTGAAACAGCAAATCTGCCAAATGAATACTTTTTGAAAATGTAGATTGCACAGATGGACAATGACAGAAGACTTCTGCAAACAGACTTTTGTGTTTTGGAGACTTCAGCCAGATTCCCCGATTTAAGTGTTTTGGTCATCTCTATTCTATCTATCCCCTTTATTTGGAGTCACTTGAAGAATAAGGTGCATGCAACCAGAGTGGGAAATGTGAAGAGTTAATGGAACAAGTCATGGAAGAAACTGAGCACATAACCCCAAATATCCTTGATCAAGTCATGCAAAATGTCTTGATCATCTTGTGTAGTGCACTGCTATGCTAGGTGGTTATTTGGCAGACATAGTGTTTGATAATAATGTAGCAAGTGCATACAAAGTGCAGTAGTAAAGTTTACTTAGCATTATGCAAATAGAAAACTGTATTGAAAGAGATGACATAAAATATTTAAAGTTTCATTCTCTCATAAGTATATTACTTTCAAAGTGGGTAATCAAAAATACTCGCCCTGTATAAACATGTCAAAGGTGGTTTATAAGGAAGATAATAAAAATGGTCTAAATACCATCCTTTGCACTTAAAAAAAAAGTAAACTTTAAAAAAAAATTTTAATGCAAAGTTTCAGGTATCAGCAATTAATGATCTTAATGCATATTTTGAATGCTAGGTTGCACATATAAAAAATGTATAGCTTTCTGAAAGACATTTTAAGAAGAAAAAATCATCTTACGTTTGAACAACCACAGTTAATAACACAAACAGCTCAATAAGTTGCATTCTCGCAAAATGACTAATAGTAAATTTTCATTAATGAACCAGAATATGATTTAGTTTGGTTTATTTTAATCATGGCAAGTACATAAAGGCTATCTGTCTAAAGGACATAAGTGCTATCTATCTAACGGAAGGAATGCCTTGGATGCCTTTCTAAGAAAAATTGGCTTGTATAAGCAATACACTTGGCTAAAACCATGAAAATGCCCATTCCCCTGAAACTGAACCCAAGTTGGAACTACCAGTGTTCAGCGATTTTACCGCTCTGCCGCTGGTGGGTGAACCAGAATAGAATATGAAATAGCAATTACATAAGAAAGGATATACTAGCATACAGCGATCAACAAATAGTACTTAAAAAAGAGCATTTAATAAATTAACACAGAATACATCTTCTAGATTAACCCTTTGACTACAAATTAAAAAAATGCCCTCTTCTCTATACAAATGAACAAAATATGTCAAAAATGAGATAAAATTAGTATTTAGGATTTTTTTGACAAATGGTTTTCAAGCCAAAGGCTGGGGACACATATGTCTTAGCCGTTGTTAATTGGTGGGATACAAACGTCTCATACGTAGCAATCGACTTACTATAAGCACACCTATTAATCTGGAAAACTTTATTATATGAAATAGATTTACATTATTTGGTACATGGTAAAGCATTCTTTGAACAACCCAACATTACATATTGGGCAACACATATTTGTTCTTTTCCCTATGTTCATTTGTGTACAATGTGTGTGTGTGTGTGTGATTATGGCAAAACCTCGAGGGCTATCTGCCTAAGGGGAGGGATGCCTTCGTGGAGGACTTTCTAAGGGAAACTGGCTCGTATACACGTTACACATGGGAAAACCACAAAAACGCCCATGCAGTCAGCCCGTTCGCTGGATTCGAACCTCGGACCGAACTACCAGTGTTCAGCGACTTTACCGCTCGGCCGCTGGTTGGCTGTGTACAATGAGCACAGCGGTGTTTTGATTTTCCAACTATTAGAAGATGATCCCCCAACATTCGGGAGATTCTCCTTTCGCCCCTTCTCTTCTTTTGAATGAATTTTTCTCTTGTATGAATTTTGATTCTCTTGTCCTTTTTAAAGTTTAAGTGAGACTTATATGTCCCATTAGTAGTCAAAGGGTTAAAAACAGCTATCTAGAAAGCTATGTGCTAAATTCAGTATAAGTGCTCCTCAGTCAACACAAAAATTATGACTTGATATGCTCAGTTTAAGTTAAAAATATATGCAATAAAACCAACAATCAAAGACATCTCGCTAATCTTATACATGCCTACAATGCTCAGGTAATTTACATTAGGCTGTAGTCAAGAAGAACGTTTAACTCAAAGCCTATTTTACAATAAAGTACCAAATATCTCAGCGAATACATTGAATTTTGTACTGAAGGTGAAAAATCTAACAGGTGTATGGGTATTCATCATTAGCACACATAGTTATTTCAATTATTACTTGAGTGGAACTTGTTTTAAAATAATTTGTTTAGAATAGGGGTAATTTATGGTTAATAAACATTCCTAGGAGTTGTTGATTTTTTTTAAATTCCTTTATGAATATACAGTACAATTAAATTCATTATTCAAGAGCTTGCATGAGCTAGAATTTTACTCTCTCTTTTAATTTGGATTGATTAAAATATCAATTAGATTGATTTCAAAATGTTTTTCTAAACATATTATAACATATGTTCAAGTGTAGAATTCCTCTCACTGATCGAGCAACAACCCGTATAAGAAGAGGATGACCATATGAGTTTTGTTGTTTGATCCTCGAATTTCTATACAAATATCAACCTATTTAAGTTTCAACACATTCATTTGAAAAAGCTGTAGTATTTCATTTGCTTATTTCTACCATTATTCACATGCATTAAAAGATAACTAAACATTTTGCTTTCTCTTTTTCAACACAAAAATATTTGTTTTAAATGAAACCCAAATGCATTACCTTCTCCCTCCCCCGAAATGAACAGAATACAGATAGATTTTTGATGAAATATTAGTTACTTCAATAGCAACAAATCATAACATGAGAGCCAAATCCTTTCCCCTGGATGAACAACACTTAATTAGTCAAGATACAAAGATTGTGAGGGGGAAAGAAAAGAACAGTAATTATTTATAAGTGCAACTATCTTAGTGGAAGTTGTTTAATTCTTCAGCAAGCATCTAACTCTAGTAACCATGGGCATTATAATTGTTAATTTTAATAATCAATGTCATAATTTTCCTGAGCATTCTATTTGTTGTACTCCAAGTTCCAAAGTTTTTTTTTTTTTATAAAAAATATATATTTTTTCCCCTTAAATAAAACTTTAAAACATGCTGTTGTGGGATTAGCCTACAGGAGAAGAAAATGTTGTAAAATTTCTACAAGATTTTTTGCTTTCTCTCAATTTTTTCACAAAATTGTGAACACTTGATTGCAAACTTGAAGCAGTTGTATTTCAGATAACAACCTTCCTACAACTTTAATGTAAAAATTTGTATTCAACATTTCAGGATTCAAAGTGGTTATTAGTTTGAAAGCAGTCATTTGTCCCTCACTACGGAGTTCAATTTATTTACAAGGAAGCAAGAAATTAACATTACATTCTTTTATGAAGACAAGAAATGGCAGACAAGACTGCAATAATTATAGGAAAAGATAAGCATTCTTGATAAAGAGGCTGAAGAAACAAAAAACTGCTTGTAAGACTGATTGATTGATTAGAGGGCTAAACATTAATTAATATGCATATAATTTGCTTAGTATATGCATTAAAAATGTTTTTACAATTATTAATTTTCTTGAATAAAAAAACAACCAAACTGCACGAAGATGGCTGAACTGATACGTAAGTACCAAAATTGCATTATAACATGTTATAGGTCATTAGTTTTAACAAGTTATTAGTATAATTTTTATTGGACAAATATATACATATGTGTATTGTTTCAGTGATTTTATAATATAGCTAGTTGTCATCATTATGTGCTTATTGCCTAATTCTGAAAGCACTGTTGCTGTTTATAAATATGCATGGGGGGCTATTTGGAGTGTCAAACTATTTATTATTACACTTCAAGCAGCCAAGTGGAATATAAAGAATACATTAATAATTATTAATTACCTTTCATCAGCACAAGAAAAACTGCATAAAGGGAAATTCCATTCTATTCTCCAGAATATCTTCCTGTCACTAAAATAACAGTTTACATTTAACATATTAATATTGCAGTGTTTATATTTTTAAAACGTGCAAATCAAATTTAAAAAGAAAAGCCTATTTTATGAAACAAAATTACACAATATTTTCTGAACTGCATTCCACAAGGGAAAATCTACAGAATCATGCAAGTCACAGAATTTTTAGAAACAACGATGATATACATATATCAGATTTCAGACTCAAAGCAGAAATAATCAATAAATGTTAGTATATTAAAGAAGAAAACTTGCTGATGCTTAATCTCGTTCTGTGAAAGGTTAGAGCTTTGTAGAAAGCACAATTAATTACGAAATGATACAGAAATTAATAAGAAATGATACTATGTCACATCTCACAGGAGGCATCAGAAATAATATAACAATTTTGAGGTATACAAAAAGGGATAGAATCACTGAGCTCCTACATGACATTAGGTTGCTCATGCATGTAGTTAGATCCATTTGCAGTTTGTCAGCTGCATTAGCAAGCTGAACCACAATTACTATTTAGTAATCATTGAATGAAAACTTTCCCTACTTAAACCATCAGATATCATTTGCATGAAAAGCCTTTTCATCTCCAAACCAGTAAAAACTTGTTTTCAAACTGTATAACACTTGCCCCTGTGCTTGAACTGGTGCATATGTAAATGAAAACAATCATATGAATGGATAGAAGTTCCACTTTAACCTTCAAAAAAGATGACTGAAGAAATGTTTATAGGCATCAAAGACAGTAATATAAAAATCACAATCAATTAAGCCTAACCAAGCACAGGATGACATTTCATACATCACTAAAACGGCAAACTTCATACCAGGCAAACATTTCATACGATGAAGAAGCATCTCTAGTATATACTTCAGATAGTTTAACTGCTTCCCTTACAAAATGTTTTTGAAAATAATTGCAAAAAATCATCACTTTTTTTATTTTATTACTAAATACAATAAAATGAAACAAATCAAAATATGTAGGTTTTAAGTTGAATTTTTAATTTTTTGAAGGTGTAAGTTTTAATATTAGTTTACTTTCCCGAGTTATCTCGGGGAAACAAAAAAGAATTAAATATTTGTCGTTGTATGACAGTTTTTGAAACAAGGGACAACACAAAGTGATACCTGACATTCTATACATGGGTAATTGATCTCTTTTCTTACTGGCTTACCGCTGGAATCTCTTTTACGGGAGCACAGATTACACTGTCTCGCTGGATTTGATTTTTTAAAAAATTATTATTTTCCCACCTCTTTATAATCACTATCTGAAAAATCATCACTTTCACTATCTTACATATCACCATTATTTTACTTTTTTTTCAACCCAAGTATCTTTCTTTGTACATTACTAATACACAAGCTAACGTATACTATACAATAGGGAAACACGTGACCAGTCTCGCCAAAAGAACCATGCAACCAACAAAACTTGGCAAACTGCCAATAAAAGCTGAATATTTCCTTTCATTTCCTCCAGGCGAGTAAAACCATGATAAAACAAATCAGAGTAACAAATTTGGCTTTGCTAGAGTTTTCTCGGGATAATAACTAACTGCAATATACATAGACTCCAACCTTCAGCAAACCTTGTCAGTAGTCAACGCGCGAACGACATTTTTACAACTTTGAAAATGTGCACGTAGCGTATGTTGTAATTCACCATTCATTAATTTTAAATTAATAATTAATTGTAATCAATTTTATTACATTTAAAATCCATATACATATAAAACTGAATAATTAAAAATATACCTTGTAAATTATATGCACATTTAATTAGAAATTTTCTTTTAACTCCTCAAGCATTCACTAATAAAAGTACTTCAAATCACTACTAATCATAGAAAAAATCAGAAGCTATAAATCATATCTTTATTCTGGATATGATTTCTACAGGGAAATAAATTTAAATAACCCAGAATGATACATATAAGTATTAAACAAAATACGCATAATTTATGAATGCAAAGATTTATATGTAGCATGCTTAGCAAGCTTAAGTTCTGATTTTGAGAATGTTTTTTTTATAACACAGTTCTTCATTTGCCTGCATATTTTTTTTTTCAATCAAAATGCTTCAAGAGTTTTTAAGACCTAAATTTGGTCGAAATTCCGTCTGATTTTTTTAACAATAGAAAAATTCTTTCGCAAGCTGCATTTGAATGAGGTATTATTAGACAGCAAGCAAGCATTACAGAAGGCAATACTTTGTATTTAATACACCCATTCATATTTTTTTTAATTTGGCAATTTCTCCCCATGCTATATCAATACGCAAATCTACAATTTTCTTTCAAATCATCTACTTGATACATGAAAATTCAATTTCTACTTGATTAAGACATTTTTCATCAATAATGGATGGAAAAGTATTCATCAAGTAAAGAACAGATGAAAATGAGACTTCAATTCTCAAGTTGATGTCAGCAACTTCAGCATGTTTTAGAAATGGATCACTCAGTGGAAATTTATCAATTATATATGAACATGCAGTTATGAAAAAAGCTCGCACAGAAGTGAAAAATGATTTCACTTCACTTTCATTCAACTTGGCATTTTTTAAATATAGTCTTGTTTCCGCACCAATCACTAAATTTTCATTTTCTTTTTGTTTACTATACTTCTGAAATGGAATAGACTTAGAGTAACATCTTCATTTTCTTTAGAAATTACTGATGGTTTACGAATCTAACAAATAAATTCATTAAAAGTTCAAAAGTCTCTTCTCAATTATGTATATAAGGAGCTTGTTGTTGCAAATTAATATTTACTGTTATAAACAAAGGCAAAGTATTTTTCAAAAATAACAAGTACAATTTGGTGGTCGGTGACTGTAAAATTTTTTAATGTTTTGCAATCTCTTTCCTTCATTCTCACTGTTATCTGGTTTATCTCCAAAAAAATTTATCACAGCCATCCCACTGTTCCAAAATCCTTGTTATAGATTCTAAAAGAGACAACCATCTCGTACTGCAATATTTCAAAATTTTATGAGATTTTGCATTCTGTCCCAAAATTTGTTGAGCAACTTTGAAGCTATGCTTCCGTTTCGAACTTTCTCCAAGTAAAAATATTATCTATTATCAACATTTCAATTTCTGAGGCCAATTAATTTTTCAGTAGCTTTTTTTGCAGCTGTATGCAAGAAGGTGGCACGGACAACCTCGGGTTGATTATACTTGGTTGATGCATTTTGATAAATGATGCTACACCTTTAAAACTTTCCAATCATATTACTAGCATTATCTGAAGAAAATGATAAGCAATTTTTCCATTCTAAACCTTTTTTTAAAGTTTTCATTTATACAATTAAAAATACCTTCTCCTGTATTATTTGTGCATTCTAAAATAGAAATCAATGAAGTAATTATCACTCCCTTTTCTTTACTGTAGTATGTTATAACCAATGGGTACAGTTTGTTATCATTGTTATCATTACTTCCATCAGTACTTAGAGAAAATGATGTACTGCACACTGATTTTATAATATCAGCAACATATTTTCTACAAGCGTTTTCACAATAGCAGCAGTTTTGGTATGACCGCAGCTAAATTTTTTGCTATGGCAGAATCCGGAAACATTGCTTTGAAAAGCGCTCTTGGAATGATCCGAAACAGAAAGCGGTAGATTATGTTCAATTAAAAAACGAACAAATAGCATGCGGCTTTTTATAGGATCTGTTTCATCATCTTTTTTAGAAATTTTTGTTATTTCTTTAGATTTTATGGTGCCAAGTTCTATATGCTTTTGAGAAAACACATGCCGTTTACAGTCATCTTTTCCGCCATGAGCAACTGAGAAGTCTTTGTTGCATACACTGCAGTGTGCGTGATTCACAGAAATTTCGGACGCTTTAATGCATGGAAATTCTGAAGAATATGAATCTTTAAACTTCTGCTTTGATAATTTTGGCTTCTTCGTTCGAGGCAGCATTATGATTAAAAATCTTTCACCTGATTCACAGTTTCACAAGACACACGCTAAGCTCTCGCCGTAAACTACACAATGCAGCCGAATGCAGCCTAAACACGCATCAGCGAGGAACCTGGGAGACAGACAATTGGGTGGAACTATTGATAAGTCGTTAACGGTTGGAGTTACTGATCTATGATTGGCTAATTCTTCAAAACTAGGAACGCACTCAACACGTGATATATGATAACACGAGTATTCAGCCAATCATCGGATGAATTAGTTGGTTCCGTTTTGCGTACTGGTTCTCCTCTTGTTTCTGTAAAATCCGTAGTTTTTTCCATACTTTTCGTAGCTCGTAGTTTTTCATGAATTTCCGTAGAAACTACGGAGAATCCGTAGTAGTTGGAGTCTATGAATATATACGAACTCGGGATAATCAGGCAAACGGTTAATTGCATGATGCTATATGAGTTTGCCTATAGATCCTGCAGTACTGTCATACATTCAAAACACACACAGGCATTTGTTGTTCACAGGCTTTTACTCAGATACAACATAACAAACTAGGGCTATAGGCCCTTTAAGGAAAAGCTTGTATCAGGATTACACAGAAGGAAAATCATAAAAACATGCCATAACCCATCACCTTTTCTGGCTTGAAATCAATATAAGCATGAATGGGACTATGTTGGACAACTTATAATCTGGGTTGCCTGAGATTAATCTAGATGTTTCGCAAGCTGAATATAATACTGCTTTTTGCAGTAAACTCAAAAACAAATTTTATCATTTGATTAATGGTAACAGGATCAGAAATAAATGCCTGTACTGCTTCCAGTGATGTCTAAACTCATAACTGAAAGAAAGAATTTTTCTTTCAAACATCAAACACATATTTTGAGATTATTTATGCATCTAACTCACTAGTTATTTTCCCAATTTTCCTACACTTTCTTCCTGATGCTGTATTTCAATTTCTGAGAAAGATATAAGTGTAAGATATATCTGATATATCTTACATATATATAAAGATATATATCTTCTGAGAAAAATATAATAAAATACGATGGCCACGTAAAGAAATAATTGGAAACCTCTAAATTGACTAGTCTAAATTCGATGTTCTCTCCCTAAGTTCATCCTTTTCCCAAATTACATAACACTGTTTGAGAAAAGTAACTAAAACTAAAATTAATCAATCATGTCTTAGCTTTACTTATGCACCTACATAGTATAAATACTGCTTCACGAGCAATTAGCCCCCCCCTTTTCCTGACTTCTGCCATGCAAAACCTCTGCTGCTATGCTTACTTACCTAAGATGATGTCGTACTTTAAAACCCATGTACATCGAAGTTATTGTATTAAATTATGATTAAAAAATATCTTGTCTGTAAAAGGATGATTTGATATGTGTAAAAATAAAAACAATGATTTGCCGAAATTAGTTTTGTCAATGTCAACTTCGTGTCTTTTCCCATGACGACTATGCACTTAAAATATTACATATATATAGTAAAACGTCTGAGATTTAAAATTATCAAGACTTTGGTGATTCCGGATTTCAGAAATTATTGGATTATGAATCACAAATTTAAATTTAGCAAGATGACATGTGGAAATTTCAAAATTTTTTACATATTACTTACAATAATTTTTTTCCCTTAATGAAATGTAAGAAAGAAATAAGAAGTACCTGTATCTTATAAATGTAGTACTAATTTTCCTTTTAGAAAATACCATAGGAAGAATCTGAAGATCTGTTTTTCTTGCTTTGGCAGCCATTTTCAATCTATAAAGGTTCTGAAGGTGGAAAATATTATCGTTAAAAAATGCATTCATACATAAAACTAAAAATCTGATGTGGACAACATATGACTTCCTTGTATGGCCTATTAAATTATACACATTATTTTGCTTCATTTCATTTCAACTTATTTCCTTGAATTTCATTAGAGATATATTTTTCATTCAATTAATTCAGTTCTCACTTCGTAGCATGGCAAAACTACATAAAAACTCAAAACAATTTCATTAAAAACTAGAAAATATAGAAAAACATAAAACACAAAATTTTTTTTCATAATTCAATAACTTTTAAAGGGAAAAAATGCACAATTTACCAACATATAACAATTAAAAAAAAAAAATGAGTTCAACGAGCCAAGTAATAGAGCGGGTATACATACATATATACTTTTGGTGTGACTAAATTATAACCAAAAATGGAGGTTCACAACTACATGTTATAGCCATCATATATACAAAATTTCAACATTTTAAAGCTACTTATTTTTGAGTTATGCAAAATACATCCATACGTACACACACACCTACAGACATCATGAAAAAATCTCTTCTGAATCAATTTTAAATCCATTTCACAATTTGTTTTGAGAAAAACAGACCTTTATTCTGTCCTTACATACAGAAGTCATGCAAAAACATCATTAAATTGCATTCGATAGCAGTCTAAATGGATATTTCCGTTGAAATATGATACTCGAAATTTTTCGGGATTTCAGTTCAGTTACTTTATACAACGAAGTAAAAAATATGCCATTCACTACTGCAAATTAAATTAGCCCCCTCCCAAAGATTTTTAGAATGACTGCAATAATAGCTTGTTTGTGAGATGGAGAGTTTTTGCTCATGTTGTCCTTTAAAAAATAATGCCTGTCATGTATATTAAAAATACATATATTCAGATAATTAAAATAATTTCACTTATTCCTAACTTTTTCTCTACAGAAAATTTGCTTACTTAATTTTACCTTCATAATTAAATGGCATAACTATAATGCCATTTAATTATATTTTTTGAAAGAGTGAAAAAAATAACTTCTACACATCTTTAAGTGATTATATATGTAACTTCAAGTGACTATATATACAAATATTAAAGTGATCAGTATTGTTATCATACCATTATAATAAAGTGGCAGCTGCTGGCTGCCATATTGTTCAACCTGAGTTTAAATCCTGAAGAAGGTTTGGATGTTTATCAGTGCATAGTATCTGGTTTGGATGTTTGTAAATGGAATAAGTATCTTTGTGGTATGAGGATACCGTAATTTCTGGAAGAAAGGCCGCATCAGCGTAAACGCCGCACTCGAGAAAAATGGCGGGAAAAAAATAAAAATTATACAGAAACACCGCATCAGCGTAAACGCTGCAGTAAATTAAATTGCGTGTGACATCGTCGTGGGTCGTATAGATGCAAGATCTCAACCTAAGTCCTGATATATGACATATCAGTTAAGAAAAATGCATGAAATGAAATCATAACTCAAAAATAAAGGTAAGAAATGTTGAAAATATATTTACGTTCACATATATACTTATATTTACCCACTAAAGAAGTCCATATTTGTAATAGTCAAACTATATTATAAAAAATGTTACAACAACGAAATATTAAATTTGTATGGCAAAAGGAAATTTAAAATTTTACTTACAAAAGGAATTACAGCAAACTGTACTTCATATGAAGCTATCAAAATTTGATTCTTCACTATCTGAATTAAAAAGATTTAGTAAATCCTGATCTAAGTCCAAGTCTTCTAGATTGTCACATTCATCCTCTTGGTTTACAGTTTCTTTATCTAAGGATATAATTTCAGCTTCTTTGAACCCTGCTATTATTGACGATGTTTTTACCGTTTTCCACGCACTTCCTACCCACTTTGCAACTTCTTCATAAGATGCTATATGAATTTTACCGATTTTGGTACACGAATGCAATCCTTCACTCCTCCCACCGCTTTCGGACTTCAGCTTTGAAGGATTTATTACCTGACAAATCTAATGGTTGTAAGATTTTTGTTAAACTACCAGGAACTTTTGCTACGGTCGTAGACAATTTTTGACATCTGGTTTTCACTGACTCAAGTAAATGAACACGCATGGAATCCATTCTCAATAACCTTTTGGTTGGAAAACAGATCCCTTACGACACTGCCAAACTTTTGTAGCCAATCATGCATGATTGTATCGCACATCCAGCCGCTCTCGTTTGCACAAATAATTACGTCATTAGGAAAATCTTCCCTTTCGGAACAGTCTTTTGTTTAAAAATGATCATCGGCATTAGCTTGTTCACCATTTGCAGCACAAGCTAACACACATGTAAATGACGTTCTTTCATGCCTCTGTCGTAAGCTCAGATAATAGTTTTTGCACCAGTTTCATCAACAGTTCTGTTTCAGGAAAGTCGAAAGCTAACGGCGTTTCATCCATTAGCATTTCATCCATATTTATTATCTGTGACCGAAGAAGTTTTTCTTTTTTTTTTTTTTTTCTTTTTTTTTTTTTTGTCAATAATATCTGCCACATATTTTAAAAAAGATGCCTTTTTATCCTGCCAGTCCATTAATAATTGTTGCCCGACTGTTGTTCTAGTATGCACAGAAATATTTTTTCTTTTCATAAATCTGCTACACCAGCAAGGCCCTCCTTTGAAATCATTTATGTTCATTTGCTTTGCTATAAATTTTACACTCGAAATTGCCATTCCCTTTCCTCGTTGCTCCTTTGTCCAGTTTGCAAGGTCATCCTCTAGATTCGGCCACCTTACAGTACCATTTCTTTTGGCTCGTTTCTGTTGTGGCATATTTTTAAGAAGTTCTTTTCCAGTCCTCCAACGTCGAATACATCTCTCGTCCACTTCGGCCACCTTACAGTACCACTTCTTTTGGCTCATTTCTGTTGTGGCATATTTTTAAGAAGTTCTTTTTCAGTCCTCCAACGTCGAATACATCTCTCGTCCACTTCAAACTCTCGAGCTGCTGCTCTATTTCCAATTTGTTCAGCACGTGAAATTACATTAAGCTTAAAACCAGCAGTATATAGCTTCTGTGCTGTTCAGGTGTCATTTTCTAAAAATTTTCCGCTCCCTTCTTACTTAAAAACTATCTAACAAGTACTTATACCCAAACTGATGGGATCTGTATCTGGCAGAATGCCAAGAAAAATCGATTCATGCTGAAGGAGAAATACGTCACAGTTCGTTATTGCGAGGCAGGTGGAGTCGTGTCCACCTTTGAAAAAAATTGCAGAAAAGGCAGGGGTGGGGAGAGGATGGGTCCTGGAAGATTCATCGAATGGCAGAGGAGAATGTTGATTTGAAAGGGGGAAGAATGTTATTGTTCTGAAATCCCGTTTAGGGTGAATAAGGCATGTAGGTCCGTTCAAGGGAAAGAATGTAAACAAAATAACGTTCGCAAAAAGCAACTGATTGGTCTTTTGTCTTGGTACAGCACCAATCTATGTAAATGACAAGGCCACCCAAACTATGTACAATGACCATCATAGGAAATATTTTATTTTTAGCGTACCTAAACGCCACTCCCACAGAAAATTTAAGTTTTAAACACGTAAACGCCATGGTGTTTCTTCTGGAAATTACGGTACTTAAAATACATAGCAAGCTGAAAGTCATTTTGACAGGCTTAGAGGTAGGAAAAGAGGGGAAGTAGACCCTTGACCTTGCCCTGTGGGGGTTCTCGTTCAAAATTGGTACAGAAGAAAAAAGCTGTGCAGTCACACTTATGCCAATGGCAGATGCAAATCATATGCCATAACAAAATTTGTGGTCTTGTTTTGATGTTATTATCAGACTAGTGAGGTAAGTCACATATGACAGTTTGACATATTGACAGGTTTTGAGGCAGAGAAAGAAGGGAAGTAGACCCTTGACTTGTCCTTTTAGGGTTCTCGTTCAAAATTGGTACAGAAGCTGTACAGTGACAGATGCAAATCATGTGCCACAACAAAATTTGCGGTATTGTTTTGATGTTACTATCAGACTAGTGAGGTAAGTCAAAAATGGATAACCTTATAAACAAGACCCCTTTTTTCTTTAAGAGTATATCAAAACTACAGGGTTTATGCCTTGTGTTAAACTTGATTTGCATTAAGATCTACTGCAGAAATATTAATAATTGTGCATTAGTATTTGCACAGCAAATATGTTTCACAATACATACAAAATTCATCAAACATTTCTATATTACTTATTTATCAAACCAAAAAAAAAGTATAAAATATCACACACATATATATATACCGTATTTGACAGCATATAAGACACACTTTTTTCCCTAAATTTGGTCACAAAAAAGTTACCTGCATTACCATTATATCAGCTCGCCAGCTGAAATGGATAGTGATTAGTATGTGATTTTATGAATTAGGATTTCAAATATGCATTTACAGTAACTTTCATTTAAAAATATCTTCAGCCATGAATACTGCAAGATTTCAGAATAGATGGAAATCTAAAAGAGCCAAATTCGGTGAATAAGGAAGAAATGGAAGGAAACAGATCGTCAAATTTCACAATTTTTATTGTGCAGTTGCACTTATATAAATAAGCAGGGTCATTATCATAGTGATCTTTTTCTTGACATTTCTAGAGAACTTTTCTAAGTTGCTACTTTTATGTTGTATAGAAGTGTTGGCATGTTATTAGCCAGTAATAGCTTTTATTTTTTCAAACTATTCAATAAGTCAAATTTCTTCAGCATTTAAAAAAAAAAAAAAAAAAAAAAAAAAAAAAAAAAAAACTGATGCCTTTGCCATTTCAGCTGATTCTGCCTTCTTTGGAACTAACTCAGTTTGTCAAAGATACTTTTTTTATTACAATTTTGTTTGTAGCATATAATGGCAAATCCAAGTCTTATCAATCATAACAAATCCTCTTTTGATCCAGATAGATTCTTCATAAAAATATCCAGATACCTGCCTGATCTCCAATGTAGTGTTGCTACTATTGAGAAAATGGGTCACCCATCTTGAAGAAAGTTCTTTTAATTTCAATTTTTCACAGAAAATGCAAACCATTGATTCATCACAGACGCTCATGGCTTCTTTGATTTCACAAAATTGTATTCAGCAATCTGTCAAAATCATGTCATGGACTACCTACTTTACTACTTTTTAAAGTGGTAACTATTTTTTTGGATATCCTGAACTCTGTGTGAATGCATACACACTTAAATTTCCAAAATGTTATGGATGAAAAGGTAACAAAACCTTATTTTCAATAACTAACATCAGATTTGAATTTAATTTCTACACAATTTTTTCTTCCAAATGAAAAAATTCAGTGCTTTCTCAAACTTCATTTCTGTCTACAACTTAACATGCAAAGTTATTTTCCTTAAATGCTCTAAAATTAAATGACCTAACAGCTAAATTTAAAACTTGCTTTCAATTCGATGAAATTGTTGCTTGCGTATAAGAATTATTTAGAAAAAGTAATACCCAGAGATCATTTAAGAAACTTTTAAATATATTAATTTCCATTCATAAATAACATTAATAATTAATAAGGATGGATATTTTCCATAAATTAAAAGCAAAAAGAATACCAATTAACCAATCAAATGGCAATAAAAAGTAACTAAAACTTATGGCAGAATTTTCCTAAAATAAATTTTTTTGCCAGCTTATTAAATAGTATTTCCAACAGTTTACATTTTATCAGACCTTTTTCTGGAATAACACCTAAACACTTTTGTATCTCTTTCTGTAGCAAAAATTAAGTCCGACTGATAAAAACATACATGAATAAAATGCTATAAAAACTAACAACCTGAATATTAAAAATTTTATTTCTCATATTTTGCTAATTAATCCACACTAAAAAGACTTTAAAACTTATATAAAGGTACATAAAATTCATATATGTAATACCAGAAAATGTCATTCTTGATGGTTAAATTGAAGTACATTATAGAAATTCTTGTAGTCCTGCTGATATATTGCAGATTCATAAAGCAGCAGCTTGTAAATGTGGTAAATTTAAATATTCCTTTTCTTTTGATGACCAAACATTCAAATGCAGCAACGTACATAAATGGGTTACAATAAGCATGCCTATTTCAGAGTTTATTATACTTTTGAAGACAGCACACATTAGCAGGAGTAGCAGAAGTGAAGTGTAACATATTTCAAAATGGAAGCTAAGTTGAAAGGAAGATTTTAATTTGGCATTTTAACTTTCAGTTACAAATTATTTGTGTTATAAGCCTTATGAAAAGGTTAGAGAAGCAAACTATTAAAATTAAATTACAAGGTTAAGGGCTATTGAAAATTTAAAACAGAATTGTGATTTACATGTTTTTGAAATCCTACATATACATGAAATAATGTACACAGCATTACATAAATGAACCAACAGTATAATTAAGTATAAAAAAATAATTAAAAAGTTATTCTTACAGGAGGTAAATAATGAAAACATCCATGTGACCTTTTTGCTCTATTTGCATTATCTACAGTACGACCAATTTCCTCAAGAAAGTGGTAGTCTGAAATAAAATGTAAAATAAATAAATGAAGTACCTATAACAGAAAAGCAAATTATAAATATTTTCAACTGCTTTTCTTACAACAATAGAAATAATTTGCTTTCATATTGCCTGAGGTCTGGGACATATACATCTCATGCAATGATATTTAGTTTATTACAAAGATTTAAAATTTTCTACTTAATGCACAATTATCAGACCTTGCAGATTTGTTTTTCTGTTCCTTGTTGATTGAATTGTTGAATAAATGACTTCAATACATAAAAAAGTCTCTACAGCCAATGTGAAAAGGTTTAAACTTGATACAAATAGACAGGGGTACTATTAACACAACCACAATGACATAATTTGGCAGTTTTTACAGAAGAAAAAGTAAGATAACATAAGTCATCATTTATTTTGATAAAAGTCACTTATCAGGTGGAAGCTGGTGATTTTGGAGACTTTTCTTAAGATAGCCAAACTCTCAATATTTATTTAATTTGGCAAACATTACCAATATATGTTATGAAATATCGAGGCTCGGTAAGATAGCTTTCCCGCAAAGCAGGTTTAAGGTTGCTAGAAAATGGCAAGGGAAGGCAGGGTTGCCACATTTGGTAACAAATTGGTAATATGGTAAGACAGATGGAGAACCTTCTGGAACGAATTCTTACTGGTTTAGCCCAGAATGTTCTCAAACACAAGCCAAAAGCTATATAAACCCCACTGTTACATGGAGAGTGAGAGTCGGTATAGACTCCACTGAGTTGACAGTCGGTAAATGCCTAGTCTAGCACCGAGTTCATTGAAAGAGTCTCTTAGAGTATTGCGAGTTAGTGCATCGGTGAGTTTGATCTTACAGTGTGTTGAGCTCTGGGAACAACTGACCCGAGGAGTAGGGAGCTATATTCTAGTGCAGGGTTTCTTAAACTGTGCGTCATGACCCCTCAGGGGGTCGCGGGACCTGCAGCAGGAGTGTCGCCGATATTTTAGCAGTTTGGATATTTCTTTAACTTACTATAATAATTTTACAATTACCAAATATTTTTACACAATGCATCTAAAAATAGATAAAGAGAAGACAATACAGACAAAGAAAAAAACAAAAACGTTTCGATGCATTCTTTTTATAATATAAACGTTCATTTCCCCTGTTTTGCATATTATGTTGTCATTTCGTCTGTTGTTTATTTAAAATTTTCACATTGTTCTATGTCTTAAAATTAGAATTAAAGTTAATGACCTACAACTGCAATAGTATATTACAGTACAAGTGAAAAAATTGACAGTTTCATTCACTTTCTTTGTAAATATTATTAGGGTCACGAAAAATTCTCAGTGATAAAAAGGGGTCGCGGCTGAAAAATGTATAAGAAACCCTGCTCTAGTGTATCGTCAAATGCATTGCAAATTGTGGCATGGAGAGTCTCGAGAGTACGTAGAGTTCCGAAAACAATCGAGCAGAAGCAGGAGCCGTACTCTGGTGCTTTGCTGTGAGGCTGTCTTCCGTTATAACCTGGAGGCTGTGTCACTAATTGTTTCAGCTTGATTGTAGTAGTTCTTCAATGACTGGAAACATGTTATTGGAGCTGTCTTGAATAATACTAGCCAAGTAAGTTTGTTCTGATACTTCATATTTGTGTCGTCGTTATTCACTCCAAATCTATGAACTCTTAACCTATGTAAGAAGGGGGGGGGGAACGCAACTATATTAAAAAAAGAAAACAATTTAGCAATTCAAAATGAAAATAATTATTACAAAAAATCTGATAGCTTTCAGATTTTACATTACACCCAAAGGAGTGTTTTTTTAACATTCTGTGTGTTACCTTTATTATTATGTTCTTCAAATTGTTTTCCAGAATGACAACAGAGCACAGTTATCTAGCAGTAGAATTATTTTCTTATATTTCAGTTTTCCATCCCACTTCAAAAGGAAAATACTGCTTCCTATCCACGAATTCCTGTTATTATGATAGTTTAAAGTTCTTGACTCCTTTTAAACATCGAAGTTTACTCCTCTTTCCAATATCCACTGACATCTTTTTAATTGCTGTTTCCATACTGCACATTACTAACACAGTAACATGTTTTTTAAATTTCTTAAAACCAGCTGCTGTTTCTCATTTAAATATTAACGTGTGCTTTGGTAACACTCTGTAAAACAGACCAGTTTAATCTATGTTATAAATTTCATGTGGCTTGTATTCTTCTAGAAGCCAAGTTAAAACATCTTTTGTCCATTTTTCAGCTGAATGATGTCTATCCCTTGCTTCTCAACATATAGTTTCTGACAAATAATGTTATTGCTCTCTTTCCATCAGTTGGGAAACAGTTTTTTTCTAACATTTTAGTGAATTCTACAGCTTTTGTCGTCAAAATAGCTTTGGAACATTTTTAGTCTCATAGCTTGAAACCATTCTAGAAAAGTCTGTTTAATGTCTCTCGATTTTCCATTCATTTTGCGCTTTCTCGAGACATTTGCATTTTTTCACTAGTTCCTTATCCATTTTATTTCTTTGCTTAAATTCCACAAATAAAATTCCACAGATTCCACAGAGTAAAAATTCCACAAATGCTGTTTGGGAAATCCCTGTTTTAAAAGCTGCTTCTAATTGGCTGGTTTTACCAAACGTTTCATAATCTTTCAGCTATTTATCCTTTCCTTTCAGGTTTAAATCATTTCGTTTAGGCACTTTCGACATGTTGCAAGTCAGGTGCATGCTAGATAAAAAATGTTTATTTTAGTGATTTTTGTCAAATTGAAAATTTCCATTTTTTGCACCAGAAAGAATGCACCTTTGTCTGTCAAGCTGATCTGCCACTTTATTACATGCATAATCAACGGTTTCTTTTCTTTTTATTCAACTTACAATGACCAATCCCCGAAGACTGATAGTATACGATAATCAAAGAAAGCATTTCATGATATTCTTTGAGAACACTCTGCAAACTTCAAACTTAGTGTATGTACATACATCCTTTATGCATTGGTGTTCGAGAAAAGGAACCAGTGTTCACTTAAGCCTACATATTCTTTAGAACCCATGTTTCCTGGGAAACATTCATTAATAATCAAAGAACTTGTTACTAGTGCCTCTAGAGGACTGCTTTTGCTAATCATAAGATAAAAATACTTTGTCACTCAGCTCTAGTCCGCACAAAGACATTTGGAAACAGTATCTGACAGGAACTAAGGAAGTGTACCCAACATCTCAGTGGGTCTTGATCCTAACTACACTGGCCGAAATTTCTGCTAAACTCATTTTACTGAAACACTACATAACAGAAAGCTAAATGAATGAATTACAAACAGCTTTTATCAGCCACAAACAGTTTATTTTAGATATGAATAATCAGACTTTCGTCAGTTTGAGATTTATAAACGTCAGGATAAATTTAATAAATGGCAGTTTTTCTACTGATTAATACAGTCAAAAGTCTTTAATCCGGACGTCCATAATCCCCAATGATCTATAATCCGGACCTCAAAGTTACAAAATTTCTGCACATGCATAAACGCATAATACCTTTATGCATGCGCGTTTTATGTGTAACGGATGGTATAAGCTAAGCTAAAATTATCTAATTATCTATTTCAGTTAATGTTGCAGATTGCGTTATTCCTTAACTTCGAACTGGATCCAACTTATTATTCTTTGCAAACTGTTAGAGCAAAAGCTTGAACTTTCGATTATGTCAAGAAGAATTTCCGATTCTGGAGCTGCCAAAGGATTTACAAAGCGAAAGCATGTTTCGATGTCCAGCAAACAAAAAGTGGAATTGCTGCAAAAAATGGATAAGGCACATCCTTTGTTTCTCTAACCATTTCCGAAATCTGTTTATCAATTTCACACTGCTCTGTGGGAGGGGCAGAAACGTTGCGGCGCGCAATGAGCTTGAAGTTGATCTGTCCGCACTATCCTTACCTTCAGGGCAGATGTTTTTATTTTATCCGGCTTATAATTCCTCACTAAATGTAGTGTTTCATCTCGATGTACTCCAATATAATTTAAATCAATTGCCTCGTCATTATAAATATCACGAATACACATCAAATAGTTTTCTGGTTGCAATTTTCTAATTTTGACTATGCGTAATGTATGCTTTACGCATGCGCTCATTGAAAGAAATGTTTAATAAAGTAAACAAATAAATATTAAGCTTTTTTTTTTTGTAAATTTTGATACCCTTTAGATCACAATTGCTCTTTATTTCATAAATTACGGTTTCATATTTTTAATTTTATAATTTCTGCATGCCATCTTACCAGATTTGAACTGATGATCTCTAATCCGGAAAAACCGATAATCCGGAATCGCCGAAGTCCCGACGCGTCTGGATTAAAGACTTTTGACTGAATATAGTCGTTCTGGTTCCAGGAAATCTGAATGCAATAAATGGCTGAGTTTACTAACCAGTGAGTTTAATAAGTGATGGGCACTGTATATATTATCCCCTAGTAATCCTCACTGTTATATATATACAATATCCCTAACTTCAATTTAAGGGTAATTTATTTATGATACATGCTATTGCAGTAATAAATGCAGTATACCCCTACATTATTTTAAATGATTATGGTTATTAAAATACTAGATGTATAAAAAAATTCAGCCATTTTGTAGATGTAAATTGTGACTGGATGACCCCTGTCACAGATCAGTAAGCAGATATCAGGCAGTAAGGATGCAATTGACAATAGTATATACTGACTTCAGAAATTTCTGGTTTGAAGCAGATCAGTCCTATTCTAGACATCCACGAATAGTGTCTGATAAGTTCTAAAAGCTGCAAAATGTGAATCACATCCAGTGATTCAGAATTACGAGAACTTTTGTCAGTATGCAGAATATTAGAAAGGTGGAAGAAGGTATCTGGGTCTATCATCCGACTTGATCATTAGCTTCCACATCAGTTTTCTGTGAAGCAACAATTCCATGCAGCCAGTATCTATACTTTGCTTTCTCATAACAGAACAAAGTCATTTTTAACACAAAATCTAACAGGAGATGAGAAATGAATTACTCATACTTGCCAACCAACGACACTAAAAAATCAGGAGATTTATTTTCAACAACAAAAAGATTTTTAAATGATAAAAATATATTTTTTAATAATGAATTACCGGTACTTTTCCATTTTGCCGACACAGGAAATAAAGTCACCAACGGTGGTACAACTGATGCCAAACGGAATATCCTCTCTGGTAACCTTTTATGCCTTATTTTCAAACTAAGTCAAAGCCATTTCTTTGATTGTTTCTTTCAATACTGGCATAAAATTACATAGAATTTTTACCAGATAGCTCAAATTTATGCCCTAAGGCCATTCGCGGTAATTAAGTCAATTAGGATGTAGTCACACCGCTCAATCGAAGGCGAAAATATGGAAAAGGCAAAGTCAAGGGTTAAATTCATCAAATCTAATGAGAATGCACTAGCAAAGTAAAGCACTGCAGTTTTACATAATCTCTGAGTAAGCTATTCATACGAAGTGAAATAATTTTTGCATTTTAAACTTGTATTCCAAATTAAGATTTAACTTGAAATTAATACAGATAATTACTGAGAGAATTAAATTTTTGTAGCGCATTTTACGTGAGATGAGATCACTTGGGGTTATCTGACATGAACCAGCGAATCAAAAGGTTGAACCATGAAAGCATAGTTAATTCTTAAATTAATGTCTTTTTGCAAATTTATTGTCTTTTATTTATTGGCTTTTTATAAAACTTTAAACGATATTAAAATGTTAGTACCTTAAATAAAAAATTCTTAGAACTAACATATGCTAACATTTTTTACGTGTATACTGTATTGTGTCGCCAATACAGTGTACTTGGCGAGATTTGCGCCGGCGAAATGGAAAAGTACCGAATTACCTTCAAATCATTACTAATAAATATCTGAAAGTTCAGTTACTAATTCTTAAATGCAAACAGAACATTCTGCATTAATAACTTTTTGGTCCTTTGTTTCCACAGAGAAAAATTAACTTTTCGTTTTTTTCAATAGATCTCATGTTGTCCCTGTGTTTTTGTGTATGGACATGTTAGAGAACAATTGCCCTTCCATCGTGTGATATAAAAGAAAAGAAATAAAATAAGTAAATAAAATCAAAATGACAAGCAGTACACATCACAAATGCATTATATTTCCTTCAGAAAATATTAGCAGGAAAGTCATCTGTGTATGATTTTTGAAAAGTACATGAGTATTTTACTTTTTCACAGACATAACTAATACAAAATATTGTAATTTCTTAAACTATTTCTCAAAAGAACATGCGTTCACACAGGTTAGTAACAGGATGAACGAAATAACAACCTCGATCTTGTTTGTGGTCATTGGGTAGTCTGTGAGAGATAACATGCAAAGGTGCTTGATGCTCATTAGAGAAACGGAACATGACATTTTCAGACACATGCTCTCACTTACAAAGCAGAAGTTCGCTATGATTTCTCACTGATGAAACTATTTTGGTTTTCTATGCAGTCTAGAGAAAAACCAGGTAATTTCAGGCACCTCAAATCACTTTTTTGGTGATGCAAATAATGAAGTATTAAGCAAGCTACATAAAAATTGTGAGAAATGTTAAGAATAAGAGAGAACTGGGAGAAATATGTTGTAAATCGGGTTGGAGGGAGAATGGTGGAGCCTAAATCGGAAGAGTTGGCAACTCTGAATATTTTATCACAGTGCTAAACATCAAAGGGAGAGTACACCACACTGCAGAAACTGTATCATCAACTTTTACAAGAAGACTGTATCCCCAAAAGAATGTTAAGTGTGTGGTGGAATGTCAAGAGAATAATCAAATGGGATATAAGTAAATAATAAATGTCGATATCTCCTTCCACCTTCCAACAGTTGGATAGATTGACAGAACAAATGATATATAAGCAGTCAACACTCATCAATTACAAAGGCTTCATCTGTTACCACATTAATGTCAAATCTTATGTTCTTTATTCCATAGGCAAAAATTACTTGAATTTGAAAGGGAAGTGTTAATTCACCCATGGCATTCCCAACTCTGCTTCAATCTCATTAAATCTTTAGAGACCACTTCACTCTTCATTTCTTCGATAATGTAGAAACAACATCACAAAGCATTTTTGACTCCAAAAAAGAAAACTTTTATTGATCTTGAATAAATCTATGACCAGACAGATGAAAGTCATACATAATGAAGGCAATTAACATTTTACTTTTCCTCTTTTTTTTTTTTTCAATCAAAAAGGTAGAACTTTAGGACACACTAAATATAGAACAGAATGAAGTTTACTGAGCAAAAAATTAACTGAGATCATCCTAAAGTCTGATTTTAATAGGAAATGAGCAAATCAGTTTTGCTAATCCAAGAAATCTGCTAGTCCATGCAAATGGGTATATTGTACTAGTCACATAGCTGACTATTCCCATAAGCACCCCCCCCAAATGGTGGGCCCTCAGCTGACTTCGGCTTGGCCACTACTAAGGCCAGAAGTGGTGATCACGTTATTACGGATGCACGTAATAGGTAGGCCACCTTTGGCTCCTATGAAGGGACAGACAGTTACAACTATGCCTTTTCCAGGATTCGAACCTGGGTCCTTTGGTATTGCAGTCAACTCCCCTAACCATTATACCATCTGGCGACTTTCCATAAACATATATGATCTCCAAGCCACATAACTGTCATTGAAGAGGGAGTAACAAAGATACCTATTTGAAACAGAAGCTTATCAAAATAAAATTTAAAATTAGACAAATCAGCAGCTTTAAATTTAAAATCTATGCCAATCTAAGGATGATTATTTCCCTAATTTTAAATAAAAGATAGGTTGAAATAGCTCTAGCAAGAATTTAAATATGAGTTTGATGACATTCATGATATTCAATAATTCAGTTGGAATAATTGTCAGATGAAAGCCATCTAAAATTGGGTCAATAATTCTGAATAGATTGGTGTATGTGATTGTGGCAAAGCCTTCAGGGCTATCTGCCTAAGGGGAGGAATACCTTTGTGGAGAACTTTCTAAGGGAAACTGACTCGTATACATGTTACACATGGGGAAAACCATAAAAATGTCTAAGCAGCCAGCCTGATTGCGGAATTAGAACCTCGGACCAGTACCAGTGTTCAGTGACTTTACTGCTCGGCTTTTGGTGGGCCTCAGTAATTCTGAATAACTTTGTATGCTGTAAATAATTTAACAAATTAAACAATGCTATAAACTTACCACTAAGAAGATGTCGATCCTTAAATTCTTCTGCAGGCACAAAAGCTGTTTTTTCTCGTACACCATCACAATCTTTTTCTTGTTTATGTGCCTTTACACACTGTAAAGAACATGAAAGAACTGAGCATTTAGGGCAGCGATATTTTGATGGTGCACCGCAAGTAGCACATATGCTAAGGGGAGGAAAAAAGGATTAAATAATGTTATTTAACCAGAAGCATAAGTAATTGACAAAATACTTACTAAATTATAATCTTAAACAGATATTTTTAAAACAAAAAATACATTAACTGTTTAGTCTGTTTTCAGCATTTAAAGAATAAAGTACATCTCTTTATGTCTGTTTAAGACAGTTGACAAACCACTTTTAAGGAATTTTAAATAGATAACTAACAAATCCCTAACCACTATACCATCTGGGTGACACCTGAAGATAGATGTAGATGTATAATGAAGAAGATGCAAATATGGCTGATTAATATTACTTTTTTTTATTTACCCAGAAGAAAATAACTTGCTATGACATCCAGCCAATTACTCCAGCCTGTCTGAGATTTTGCGTGCAATGTTTATGCAATCGCATATGCGTTTCAATGCATTGCGGTTTTTTGAAGTAGCTTCGGCCCATGCATGGATGTGGTTGCCTAAGATGATATTTGGCAGTCTCTTTGCAAGCGAACAGATAGTAGTCTGTGCAAGCGAACAGATAGTACATGGTTGTAACTGTCTGTCCCTTCACAAGAGGCAACCAAGACTGCCTGTTCGGTGCTTCCACAATAAAATAGTCACCATTTCTGGCCTTAGGAGTGGCCAATGCTGAACAGGTATGTGCCCACCATTTAATTAAAAAAAATTACATATCTTTTAATGACATTTGCTTTAAACTCAGTTGTGGTATGTGATACTCATTATAATATGATAAGCCGATAGGAAATGTTAGGTGTCTTAAAAGTAATACATTAATCATCAAAATATTGATGATACAGTAGGAATACAGTAAACATAGTAAACTAATATATTTGTTCCAATTAAAAAAGGAAAAATAAGAAATAAAATAAAATATAGACAAATAATGTTCATAAATACCTCTGGAATACAGATCCATGTGTAAGTTCATCTTCCATACTTAAAAGAAATGTCAGAACACAAATTGATATGGAACCTAGAAATTTTAAAATACCTTAATATTTTTATGCTTTTAAAATTCTGCATAAGAGAAATATGATTTTTACGCTAAAATTATATTCTCAACAGACAAGAGAAATACAAAATTAGTCAGAAATATAGTTATACATTCGAATTAAATTTAGCTTTTACAGGAGAGCAAATGGTGGATTGTTTATTAAAACCGCTTCTTAAATTTTAAGAATCACCTGCACAGTTTATTTTATTATTCAAGATGGAAATACACATGAAGCGGTGAATAACAGCTGCAGCATGGGCGATCACATATCTGAATGGTCACAAGGCTGCGAGACAAGAAAGAAATTATTTTAATGCAGCATTGTTGTCATTCAGTGAAATTCCATGAAAATGCAGAAAATCATTGCTGCACTGAAGAATTCTGCCTCCAGAAATTTGTAATAGAGTAATATTTGCTAACCTATGCTTCTTTGGCTTAAATAGAGAAGTATCTGAAAATCAAACTTTATCAAAAGAATACTAAACTGATTACTTATACAGTCAAAAGCCATTAATTCGGGCACCCATAATCCATAATGATCTATAATCCGGACCTCAAAGCTACAAACTTTCAGCGCATGCGTCGAGTTCACACATGCACATAAGCGTTTACGAGTGCGCATAAGACCTTTACGACTGCGAATATGCGTGTGCACATGTGCGTTTAATGTGTAACGGACGGTATAAGCTAAGCTAAAATTATCTAATTCAGTTAATGTTGCAGATTAAGTTGTTCCTTAATCTTTGAATTGGATCCGGCTCATTATTTTTTGCAGACTGTTAGAGCAATTTTATGTATGTAATGTAGAAGAAAAGTGACAGAGGTTATTGAAAACAAAAAAATTTCGATTGACAAATTAGTCGGTGTTCTTGACACAGCAATTAGAGGACTTGAACGGCGGAACTTTGTAACTGAACAAGAAATTATGTCTGTTTAATTGAATTAAAGAGAAAGTATTATCACATGAAATGAAGCAAAACTTAAACAACTTACATTGAAAGAAATGTTTAATAAAGTAAACAAATAAATATTAAGCTTTTTCTTTTTGCAAATTTTGATACCCTTTAGATCATAATTGTTCTTTATTTCATAAATTACGGTTTCATATTTTTATATTTAGAATATCTGCATGCCATCTTACGAGATTTAAACTGATGATCTATAATCCGGAATCGCCGAAGTCCCGACGAGTCCGGATTAACGACTTTTGACTGTACTGTACTGTAATGATTGTTTTTGTAGTAAGAATCTTTTTGTATGTATTGCCCCTTTTCCTTGATGCCCCAAAGCAAGTGCTTATATCGTTTAACCCTTAGAAAACCAAAGCCTTTGCTAACTTGTATGTTTAAAATACCGAAATGTCTGAAATGCCTTTCAAGATTTCACAGCTGTTTCCTTCCCTTCCCATCCATTTAGGAACAAAGATGTGTGAAGATTTAAAATGTCACGTGCAATCTAAAGATAAGAAACCACAAATAAATCTTTCAGGACAAGCTATCCGCAATAAACTCATACAATGCAGTTTGGGAAAATGTACCTTCTGCTAGATGTCTTAGGGAAAGGACAGAAAACAACATCACAATCTCGGCCAATTCAGGCAGTTGAAGTCATTTGAATGAAAGGGAGTTTTGGGCATTCTGACATTTAAAGGGTTAATAGTTAATCCAGCCCTATCTATATACATATATACATACTTGATGATACATATACATACTTGAACTGATACATATACATACTTGATGTTTACATGGTCTATATACATATATAGATAGAGCTGGATTAACTATTAACCTATCTATATATATATATATAGATACGGTTATATAGATAGGCATACAATGTAATCTCAATTTTTTGGGCTAACACTGGGGAAGCAGAGTTCAGATAATCTAAATTATCAATTTTCATACATATCCATATGTGTTCATTTCTTAAAAAAAATCAGTTATTTCACTATTTTTTCTAGAACATTCAAATATTTGTTGACTTTCAATATGCTGTAAAGCTTTAAATATTATTAATATCTTGTAGTTTAAAATAAATAATTTAATTAGATGAACATTAAGGTATATGTGAATGGCAATGTTTGAAACAGGTTTGAGTGCCATGTGCGACTCTCGCACAAAGAATGTAGTTTATTTTAAAATGTTAGAATTTGTTTCTTTTCTTGTTTTGTATGTCGCCATTTTTAGTGCTAAATAAAGTTTTTTTCCATGTTCCATCAATGGAGTTGCTTCATATTGCCAAAGAAGTATCACAGTGCATTTTGCAGAGTGCTATTTTATCATTTTATCTAAATCTCCTTTTATCAATAAAATCCAACAGAATTTCAACAGACATCATTGCTGTCTCAAAACTTATGTATTTGTCAGTATCTTCTGCACTTATATTTTTAGTACCACTCTCTGCCTCTTCTGTTTTTGTGACACTTGAAACAATATCTGTATCCCTCAAGCATTGAAAGACTGGCTCAGCTAAATTGCCCTCAAATCAGTCTTTGATGTTTACATGGTCGACATTTTCAAAGAATTTCACATTTTCAATTTTAAGGCATAAAATTTCAGTTATTGCTTTGACTTCCTCCCGATTAGATTAATCTCCAATTCCTATATTAAGAACACTTTTTCAATAACATGATTGAACCTGTGTCATTGCTTTTACTTTCGACCAAGCTTTTGCTACTCTGTGTATGGCAACCAATGCAATTAACGTTTACCAGAACTTCAACAAATCCCCTTCCTTAGAAGGAGTTTAGAAAACACATAGTTGTTTCATTGATGACACTACACTTTGATCAATTAGCTGAATTAAACTGATAACATTTGGTGGTAAAAATGTAGCCATAATTAAATTGTCTGTTGGGTACTTTTCTGTTTTGTCGGCGCAGGCGATAAAGTCGCCAATAATGGTACAACTGATGCCAAACGAAATATCCTCGCTGGTAACCTTTTACTCCTCATTTTCAAAACAAGTCACAGCCATTTCTTATCAGGTTGATTATTTCTTTCAATACTGGCATACAATTACATAGAATTTTTACCAGATAGTTCAATTTTTATACCCTAAGGCCATTTGTGGGCTGTAATTAAGTCAATTAGGATGCAATCACACCGCTCACTCGATGGCAAAAATATAGAAAAGGTAAAGTCAACAGTTAAATTCAGCAATTCTAACGAGAATAAACTAGCGAAGTAAAGCACTGTGGTTTTACATAATTTTTGAGTAAGCTATTTGTACGAATTGAAATAATTCTTGCATTTAAACTCGTATTGCAAATTAAGATTTAACTTGAAATTAACCCGGGAGAAGTCGCGCGGGGCACAGAGTCACCCCATGCATCAAAAATCAACAATCCTAACCGGAAATACTTCATTTTAATGAATCCTCCTGTTTGACATTCTCCTTGGAATGCGTATTGTTATTTTTGCTTTTTTTTCTTTTCTGTGAAGAAGCAATCATTTCTTAGAATCCATGAGGGAATGGGGTGACTCAGTCAACCCGTGCGAACGTTACTGTTTCGAAATTTTTCATTAGTGGCGGTTTAGCTTCGCGCTCTCGAGTGTTGCCGTTGTTGTTCTGTTGGATTATTTGATAGATAATGGTTTACAAACATAAATTTACCGAATATGAAAAAGAGATGGAACGTTTGAGAACTCTATTAGATGAAGTTGAGTCTTCTGAAGGAGAAATTGATCAAGATAGTGAAAATGAATCCGATGAAGATTATACAGTTCTCATGACAGCGAAAGTGAATTTGAGCAGAATGATGAAGACGACAGAAATCCTGATTTAGTAAAAAGTATTTTTATTAGCAAAAATAAGAGTTTCGTAGAAAGGAAAACCAAATCAAAAAGTGAAAAAGGTCTTCTCAAATTATAATAGCTTATTTACCAGAATTAAAAGGAACTGCACGCAATATAACGGAGCCTCTAGAAAGTTGGGAATTGTTTTTCAATGCTAAAATGATACGATCCATTGTAGAGTGTACAAATATTTATATTAAAAAAATATCGGTAAATTGTACCAGAGATCGGGATGCCAAATGACCAACTAGTGATGTGGAAATTAGAGCACTTTTTGGGCTGTTACATCTGTACGGCTTGCATAAATCATCACATAAAAATACGCAAGATTTGTGGGCTACTGATGGCTCAGGCATTGAAATTTTATGGAACAGAATGTTATATAAAAGATTTAAATTTCTTCTTAGGTGTCTACGGTTAGATAACGTGACCAATCGTGAAGCTCGGAAAAAATTGGACAAAATTGCCAAAAGATATACATTATTGATAAATATATTACTATCAAAGAAAAATTACAGAAATTTTGAGGGCGGTGTTCCTTTTGTCAATATATACCCAGCAACCCATCGAAGTATGAAATCAAAATATTTGCCTTAGTAGATTCAAGAACTTTCTGCAGCTATAACATGGATATACGCAGGACAATAGTCGGAAGGTCCCTTTAGATTTGAAAATTCACCATTTGAAATTACAAAACACCTGTGCATCCCTTTGTTTGGGCAGAAATGTAACAATGGATAATTGGTATACGAGTTATCCTCTAGCAAAAGAACTTTTGTCAAAGAAGTTAACTATTGTAGGAACCCTGAACAGAAACAAGACTGAAATTCCGATCAAGTTCGTCCAAACAAAAACTAGGAACGATTATTTATCTATATTTGGGTTCTAAAAGAATGCGACAATAGTATCGTATGTGCCTAAAAAATCAAAATGTGTAGTTTTGTTATCTACAATGCATTGCGATGATGCCATTGATGAAAGTGACGATACAAAGAAACCAGAAATAATTTACTTTCATAATGCAACAAAAGGTGGAGTAGATAAAGCTGATGAGATGTTATCATTATATTCGACAGCTCAAAAAACCAACAGATGGCCGATGGTCGTCTTTAACTGTGTTGAACGTCACTGCAATAAATACGCGAGTTACTTTGTTCTCAACAAAGACCCCTCCTTTACAATATGGAAATAGTAGAAAATTCCTACAAAATTTGCTATATCTCTTATACAGTGCATCACATAGAGATAACAAAAAATAATGTCAATGCTTCCTAAAGTGGTTCGTGAAGGCATCAATAATGCAACTTCTAGTGTATCAGAAGAACACCCATGAAAGAAACCAAAACTCGACAAAGGCCAACGTCCTGTGTGCCCAAAATCCAAAGACAATAAAACTGCAATTTCTTGCAAAATATGTGATAATTTTTCATGTAAAATTCATTCTTCCTACCTTTTCCAGAAGTGTATGTTAGTTTCTGACTCCTGATTAGGTATATACTTATTTTGGATTTTTTTCTTAAATATTGAAATAAGTTTTTTAAGTAAAGGAGTATAGTTTCTAAATGAAATATTGCAATTATTGTTTATAATCAAATAGTTTCTATAAAATATATAACGCATTTTCCAAATGAAACTGACTGGGGTGCCACAGTCGCCCCGCACAATCTCCATCGTCAGTGTTGGGTGCGCGCCTTCTGCCAAGTTAATGTAGATAATTACTGCGAAAATTGGATTTTTGTAGTGTAGTTTACATGAGATCACTTGGGGTCACGTGATATGAACCAGAGAATCAGGATGTTGTACTATGAAAACATAGTAAATTCTTAAATTAATTTCTTTTTACAAATTTATTGTCTTTATGGTTGATCTATACATTATGGTAAGTTGGCGATTTTTTGGCGAAAATTTGGCGACCAACTTTCCTACAGCAACCCTCTATTTTTTTTTCCCCGCCGCCATTTTGTCTTCACGAAGTAAAGACATGTTTCTTTTCTTTTTATCTCCTGAACACTTCTTCCAACAATCTACTAGCCGAATTACACTTATGCTAGAAATTTTATCAAACAAAACTGCTTAATTATGACAAATATTCACTGCAAAATTAGGGAAAAACTGCACAATACCATTCCCCTTACGCATTTTTCAAAATAACACATACACAAAAACCATGTACACGCCGACTTATTTTTTACTTAAAAAAAAACATCCCAGAATTGCACACAAAATGGCATTGCGCACACTCTTCACTATATCCATGTACACTGCTTTTTTCTCATAAATTACAAAATTTCACGAAAATACATGACAATTTTTCTCAATCTTTAAACCCGGTAAAAAGAACATATATGAAATTACCTGATCGCGAAAAAGTATTTACCCTTTACAAATGTGAACATTTCCACATATAAAATAAATAAAATATCCAAAAACTTTTACCTTTAAATCATCTATTACATTATACACGTCACCAATGAATTCATACCTCAAGCATTACAAATACTTAATATCAAATATTTAAATTATTTCCATGCACGTTTATTTCAACTAAAACGTATACCAAATTCCTACAAACATAAAATTCACAAAATAACTATCATTTCATTAAAATAATTAAATTCAAAACACTACTTAAAATATAATAAGCACATACATTAAATTAATAAAAATTACCTTACAATTCTAATTACTTTAAACTAAATCATTGCTAATAACAATTTTCCCAATAATACCAAATTCCTTTCCACCTTACATTTACAACAATGCATAAAAATAATATCCTCAAATAATTAAAAATACTAACTTACCTAATCTTCTTCAGAATCTTGATTACGTGGCGGATATACTTTTCCTTACTTCTGTTTCAGAATCTTTAAAATCATACTTATCTTTCAAAGCAAGATACCAGGTAAAATAAATAACATAATAAAACATCTTTATTTCTCTCTCGCACAACCTTAAAAAACATTTATTACTATCCTTTTCAATACCACTAAATACCCATTTCGAATTCACTTTACTTACGGCCATGGGATCCAAAAATTCACAAACACTATTTCACACAACACAGAATAAAGCCAACTACAAAATTGCCAGATTTTTTCCCGATTAAAGAACAGCAAGTCCATTAATATCACATAACATATCCCATGATCTCTCATTTCCCTCACACAAAATAATGCGTAATCAGAACTGAATACTACTCACATTCTTAACAAAGTCTAACTAACCTAATCTTCTTCCGAATCTTCCTTACATGGTGGATACACTTTTATTATGGATTCAATAAAATTACTGAACGATTTTTTTTCCGAATTTTAAAAAAAAAAAAAAAAAAATTCTCTTTATCACATCTACAATTCACTTTAGACAGCGCCATACAATCCCAAAATTATTCAACCCTACTTCACACAACACACAATGAAGCTTAATACAAAATAATATACATCCACAGATACTTGTCCAAATTCCCCCCTTTTCCGATTAAAGAAGCGTAATTCGTCCATTAATATCACATGACATATCCCATGATCTCTCATTTCTCCCACACAAAATAATGTGTAATCGGAACTGAGTACTGCTCACATTATTACCAAAGTCCCAGGTAACCTTTATCGCCTCCAAAATGTCGCCAAACTACCAGTTACCATATTGTAAAGATCAACCATCTTTATTTATTGGCTTTTTTACAAAATTTTAAACATTAAAATGTTTATACCTTCAAAACAAAAAATTCTTAGAACTAACATTTGTCAACATTTTTCATGTGTTGTTGCCAATAAAGTCTGCTTGGCAAGATTTGCGCTGGCGAAATGGAAATGTACTATCTGTTGATTTTACACACACCTGTAAAATCAACACTATGAGCAAATCAAATGCTATGAGCTCAATCAAATGCTGGGAGCAAATCAAATGCTCCTAGCATTTGATTGTGTATGCATAGGCATCTCCACACACGGATAATCAAGAGTACACTATATATAAATAAAACTATAGATAGTTATACACATTTTTATTATTTTGCCGGTAAAAGTATAGTTTAAGGTACCCCTTGGCGAAACTTGGCGGTACATGGATACCGATTTTATGCAATTCTTTGACTCGTTATTTTGGCTTGCAAAGCCGCTACACAAAGCCAAAATAAAAAGACAAACAATTGCACAAACTTGGTATCCACGTACACATCGACTTATTTTCACTTAAAAAAAAATCCTCAAATTGCACAAAAAATGGCATTGCACACTCCTTCAACTTTATCCATGTACACGTCGACTCATTTTCACTTAAAAAAAAATCCCTGAATTGCACAAAAATGGTATTGCACACTCTTAAACTTTATCCATGTACACGTCGACCTATTTTCACTTAAAATTTCCAGAATTGCACAAACTTGCATTGTGCACTCCCTTTACTCTGTCCATGTACACATCGATATATTTTCACTTAAAAAGTCAAAGTAGCACCAAATTCTACAATATAGGCAAACAAAAAAATGCATGATCTCAATAAAATACATTTTAAACCAAACAATAAAATAACATAAAAAAGGAAAAACATGTTATACATTTAAGCACTACCAAAAGCAAATATTCACTTACCATGATTTTCGAGTTCGCTTTGTACACCCAGAGCCACGTAAAAATCAAAATATCAATCATACTCAAATGACTTTTTTCAAACCAGGTAAACTTTCTGATCGAACGCTTCGCATAGTGACCATCTGAACCTTTCTTCCTACAAACCCATTCAAATCCATGTAAACGGTTTTTACATTCGACTAATCGCATATCCTTCCTACATACGGGACACTTATAATGGCTACTAAGTAAACCTTCATTTATATACCAGTCAATTAAAGCTCTTTTCTCCTTTCGCTCCAAATCATACAGAAACTTCAAATTAATCTTACTACATTTGGCCATTCTACCGTCTAAAGAATCAAACAAACACACACCACAAAAACGCTTACAAAACATCCCATCATTCAAAATTTCCCAAAATCACGCACCCGATTCCATCACAATAGGGTTTCCATAACATTCAACTACACAGGCTACCATAAATGAAACAACTTGGCGATAAATCAAACAACAATTTCGCCATAATACAAGGAGTACCTTAAAGTCTACTCTACCCATTTTGCCTATTGCAGTTTATGTTACATCTGAATGTCTACTTTTGCTAACGATGTCCATGTAACAGATTTGATTTAATATAATGAATAATACGTAAAAAATATGAATATTTATACATGGGAGTAACTGATTAATGGAATCACCTGAAATGTGCCAGAGAAAAGATTGCTTTAAAACATTTGACTGACATCACTAAGAATCCAGTAAGTCTACTTAGTATGAATGTTCCTTTTATTAAATCAAATTAAAGCATGCTTTAAGGAATCTACAGATATAACTGAGATTTTCTTGCTATATAATATTAGATGTTTGAATCTGGTAAATATGTTTACAAGTCGACGTAATTCTATTAGGGATTCAACTATTGCCTTATCACAAAATTTATCTGGATTGCTATGAAAATGAAGAGCAAATAGAACTAGTTTATGATATACTTCAGAGATACTGCGGGATGATTTATGTGCAGAAAATTAATTTTACTTCGCGCATCATGGAGAAGAAAGGTATTGGACTAATTGGTATCGTATTTTCATTGTGACAAATGCTATTGAAAGTGTAATTTCACACTTAATTTAAGGAAGCCTAATATAGTAAAATAAAATGAACTTACGATAATTGCTTTAAATGTTTAGTGTTCACGTAAAAATCGACTACCTCACGTAAAACTTCAAACATGCGGTTTTGCGTTTTTTTGCTGTATTTGTTTTTAAAGCAACAGACATCCAGGTTCTTGAGTTGAGGCTCTATCCTCCTGCTTTTCACTTCGAGTGAGTTTATTGCGAAGAAAATTTGACGGCAGTTTTAGGACGAACTGACTCGTTATCATGAAAAATCACAGAGTTACACATATAGCTGTTTTTTGCCAGTAGAAATCCAGAAATTATTTGTCCAAATTCATTTTTTTCTAGTTAATGATTACCTCCAGTATAATACAGTATCAATTGTAACGCGTCTTTTGAGAACCTTTGGAGTATTAGAATATAATATTCCAAAGGTTCTCAAAAGACGCATTAGTATAATTTAAGTAAGTACAGAAATTTATCTACTCGAAGAGATGCAAAGATTCTTCGGTGCTTTTCTTACTATGTCTGTATAAGTCTTTTAACAAGTGCTATATTTTCTTGTCCATTAGAAAGAAGGAGATCTACAATATTACGAAAAAATCTTGAAAATTTATGCTTGTTTCTTACATTTCAGGAAAATCCTACAGTTAATCTATTTAATCTCTTAGACATGGGAATGTTCTAGTCATTTCAAGTATCCAAATGCTTTAAAAGTTTACTGTTACTTTAAAAGTTACTAATGAGCTGTAATTTTGGCTCAATCCTAGAAGACGCTGAACAAATAAGTACTGAAGGTTACTAAGGTGCTGTACACGCCTTTTATGACGTAATATTGGCTGCGCCTCTTTCTAGAAACAAGTTGTAGTTGTGCTACAGCTTCATATTTGAAGAAAATTTAACTAATAGTAAATATTTTAACTGAGTTGAAATGTCAGGTTTAATACGTTACTGCCCGAGGAGATTGTTTTATTATAAATCTACTTTATTGTGTGTTGCGTGCTGTTGTTAGCATTTATCGCAATAAGTTAGCTCTCAAAAATGCATTATTAATTAGCAAACGATAACAAATAAATGATTTAAAATTTATCGTCGTAACTGCTGAAAACGAAGAAAAGAAATAACGAAGATGGAATATATCCAATATCGGTGCTTCTGCAGTATAGATGAAAAGCCGAATTTTGATTTTTTTCTTTACCAATTGGAGCAAACTAGGAAAAAAAGATGGATGGAGAAAATGTTGATTTCAACGAGTCATTTTTAGAAATAATTGAAGCAAATGTTTTCCCCGGATTCTTTGTGATTTTCGCCCGCTGGAAAGCGTTGAGCTGCTTCGAGGATTGAAGGTAAGTTTTATTATTATTATTGTCTAAAGTAAAATATTGGATGCACACGAAATTTGATGAGTTCGTCATTGACTAATGACATTATTTTGGTAGTTTTATTTTCGTTTTTGGATCATTTTTCGCGAAACGTTACTTTTTTTAGAACTCGAATCAGTGGAGTTTTGTAACATTTCTCTCTCGGTCATTTGTTCTCTATTTCTGATTGCTATCTGTTATTTTTAAAACGGTCTATTTTTAAGATGTTAATAATAGGAAGCCTCTTTTATTTTCATATTGGAGTGTATGTTGAAGTTGCAGCTGTTCTAGCGAGATCGTGATCATGTCTGGTACTCAGTGGCGAGGCTTTACGCAATGTCTAGACTGTGAACAATGCTGCTGTTGTGCGTTATGCCGAGTCTGTGCACTTCTCAAATGTTTTTTGAACGAAAACAGATTGCTTTGTACATGGAGAGAACAACAGTATTATAGAGTACACTATATGAAACGTATCCTTTTGTACTTTTTAAACTTTTAACTTCTGCTATTGTATTAACTATTGTGCTTTCAATTATCATTTTTGTATTTTAAATTAGATTATTCATTATTTTTCGGATGTGTTGATAATGTTTTTAGACTTGAGATAAGACTTTAAGTCACTTCGCGAAAATCGCAAACTTGCTTTCTTTAAGTAACTTTTGCATTATTACTTTAATAAGCAATTAATTATTACTTTAAAGCAATTAATTATTACTTTAATAAGCAATTAATTATTACTTTAAAGCAATTAATTATTACTTTAATAATTAATTAATTATTACTTAATTATCGAGTGCAATTCCAACAGGAAACAATATATATTAAAATTATTACAAACAGTTTGCTGTTGAATTGCACTTAATTTTATATTTTCCACTTGAAACATTGCGTATTCTTATAAATTTGTGGTTTTTATTTTCATATCTAATTTCCCTTATTGCGAGAATTTAGATGTTTGTCTGTTATTGACATATGGAATACAAATATGCGCAAAGGCAATATAATGTTATTTAGGAATCTAAGAATTAGTGAATCGAAAGCTATAGATGATGTTCATAGGATGTAAACATTTTTTTTTTCATTAATACATTCATTTAAATCTTTCTTATATTATAATGAATATTGTCTACTTTCGATGGTTTTACCAAACCACCATCCTCAGTTGCAACCGCAAATGAACAAGAATCTTGTTCATTTGCGGTTGCAGCCTAACCCAGTGGGCGGGGCGTGCGTCACACACATGTCGGGAAGAGAGTGTAGAGACGATTTAGTTTATCGTAACATTGAAACATATGGCGTTTGTATCACATAACTCTTTTTAATTATTAAATGTGATAAATTGTATAAATGATGAGATAATAAAAATCACAGTTTTTGCTAATAAGATTTTATATATCTCATGAAACCACTTTTTACTGCATTTTGAGCATAAGTGTAATTCTTGTCTAAACATCATTACTTTGATAAAACGGTAAAAACTGTAAACAAAAAATTTATGAATTTACTTTTGCCTACAAATAAAGTAAAATTAAGTAAAATTGATAGTACATGATGCTATGAAACAAATAAGGTAAAATTAAACAAGATTTGGTAATTTTTTTTTAAAATTTTATTAACATTTTCAGGCAGTAGTATCAAATATTTATCATTTCAAATGTTTATAGAAACCAAGGATTGTTTTATTTATTTTTTCTGTTTTCAAAATTATTATGGTATTAAAAGATGATCATTTATGACAATATTAATAACTCATAAAATTCGGAGCGTCAACTTTTGAGTGTAATGAAAAATTAAAAAAAGAAATTCGCAGTAAATATAAAAATCTTATGCGGAACTAGAAATAAATTAAAAAAAAATATTACTATAAAATACAAGATATTATATGTCCAATCTTAAATTTTTATTTAATGCGCCTAAAGTAACCTTGTAATTTTATATACCTGTAAATACTTTAAGCAGAATGACTATACATCCATAAATACATATGTATGAAAGTAAACAATTTAGGATATTTGTTGCATTGAAAAATTCGCTTACTTCACTTTTTATTTCAAATATTTGTAAAAACAAGATTATATCTATTTATATATTAATGTAAATACACACACCTATATATATATATATTTAGAGAGAGAGAGAGGAAGAGAAACAGATAATATGGTTTATTGATGCTTAAATAAAATTAATTTAGTAAATCTGCTTCGAATATTTTCTCTCTGTTTAGATTCATTGTAACATGCAACTGCATGATGCATACTGATTTTTAAATATTGAAATATCACTGCTTTAATTAATTTAATCAGGTGGTTTTTATCTGGCTCATCATCATAAATATGGTCTGGAAGAGAAGGAAATATATGTGTTCCTACGCTTTTTAAGACTTTTAGAGTCATGAAATTTATAATATTTTTTTTTTATTCAATTTAAACTCCTTTTCAGTCTGCCTAAAAATTATTTCTGCATTTTTGCAGATCATTCGGACGTCACTGGAAGGAGAAGTCAAACCTTTACATCCAGATTTATAATATTTGAAACCTAGCAAACCATCATATGGTTCTGTTGAAACTAAAGCTGAGAAACAGATATTACATTTTACTTTATAAGCTAAGCTTTTAACAACAAAACCAGCTATATAAGATGTATACTTTTCGTTCTTAAATATTCTTATTTTTGATTCGTTATAATGCTAGGAATTAAAAAATTACCTATAATTTAAAAAAGCAGCAAAAAATTATAAATTTTAAAGAAAAACTTTCAAAAATTCATGTTTAGGCATTTTAGTATTTTAGCTATAGTTTAGAATTAGTTATAGTTTTAGTAATTGTAAGAGAAAATTACTTGGTTGAATTTTTCTGTTAGTTTAGATTTAAAATATTAGTTTCTAAAAGAAGAAGTTACAAATTCGCTTACATCATAGGAAAAGCTAAAAATATATACAAGCCTGAAAGCATGCAACAGCTTTATAATTATTTAGAACGTTAATTATGCTTGAAAAACATGCTAAGTATTTAAAAAGCAATCTCAGTGTCAAAAATAAAAATATTTAAAAATTCTTACTTGTGAAATGAGGCACTACCACCAGCTTTTTCGTGACAATTGTAAGCGCTGCAATAGCCAACCATTGGTAATTTCTGGAAGTCGTCCCTACTCCTCCGGATGTGATCAAGGTGACAGCCGGGAACGCGCCAGACAAGGGAGAAAACGCAATTGGGTTAGTCTATTTCTTATAAGGTCCATGTCTCAGTCTTCGCACTTTTTTTTTTTTTTTTTCTTTTTCATTTTGAGCTGAGCTTTAACCGTAATTTTTGATCACACAGTAAAATCATTTTTATAACTTTTATTTTAAGGAACAAAGATGCCATTTTTTATCAAAACAATAGGATAATCGTTGGGAGATAAAAAGTACTGTTTCGTTCAAAACGGTGGCTATTGCAATGATCGATATATGACATCTACGATATCTTCAAATTCATCTACGATATTGAATAGATTTGAAGCAGAGTTCTTTATGCCAGTGGTCTTAAACTGGCATTCCGAAGCAATTTTGTGAACCATGAATACATTTCAGTTATATATTTGCTGAAAATACGGGTTTGCAAAGATTTCGAGATTTCGTATATTTGAAAGAGTTTATATCATTATCATTATGAATAATAACGAATCTAAATAATGAGCCATAAAATCTATAAGTGCAGATAATCAATTTACAGTGTGCTGTAAATCTTACTCAAAGATTTAAAGATACAGAATTGATTTTATTAAAAATAAATGCGGTCAGTTACAAATTTTTTCACTAAAAAAATCACTTGGCTTGGAAATACATTTCTATGCGAACAGCGTTTTTTCACAATTGAAAATTAATAAGAAAAGAGCCTGAATGACCAACGAACAACTACAATCCGTGATGAAGATCATTTCTAGTAATTTTTCTCCAAGTCTGCAAACTTTATCAGGCTCGAAACGTCATCAACTATCAAGCTGTAATAAGAAATAAAGTTTATTTTTATTAACTTAAAAGTATATGTATATTTATTTATGTGTAGAAGGAAAAATTGATAAATAAGTGAAAAGACTAGATTTTCATTATTTATACTAAAACTTTATTCCATATGGAAATGTCTACTGAAAACTTAGAAAGATTTCATAATTAGTTTATTTTAATTTTCATTTATTTAATGACTATTTTAAGTAATTTATTTAACGATTTATAAAACGTATTTAAATTAATTAAAATAAATGTCAGTCTGAATATTTAATATTTAACCGTCATTATATTTTAATTGTAAAATGTAGCTAAGAAGAATGTTTTGCTCGTAGCTAACTTTATTTTTCAGATAGAATTTAATGTAAATTTGTATTTTTTGACTTTGCCTTATCATTGCTAATGCTTATATATGTTTCATAAATATTTGGAAAGAAAAATTTTAAATTACATTATATTTATAATTTCATTCATAAGTTATTTTTATTTTGTAGATAAAAAATTTTCATTTTGTTAAAAATATAAAATTCTTGCCCTGCCCGTTCACTAATTTCAGATTATGCATTAGGCTCGCAAGCAATTTTAGTTTGAGATTACTGGTTTATACTATGTTAGCTGTTATCAAAAGAGGCTATACCAATACCATAATTGCTAAAAGACTGAAGATTTCACTAAACTGAGAAAACATTGTTTAAAACATTTTATCTCTGTACTTCTTGCGTACTTTAAGTATTGCTTTTCCTACACAAATCTCGTATACACTATTCTACACAAGGACGAATTATTTGACGAAACTAAAAATCTCTGTGATATGTTTTAATAATGCATATTATATTTTTGTATATTTAATTTGGCATATGGCTGCAACTCTCAGTCAGAATCACAAAATGTTCTCTGATTATTAATGCTTAAGATCCGTTTTGCATATATTTTTCTTGAAACTCGAATAAATTTATTAACAAGAGGATTTAATAAGATCCTATAATCCTTAAAACTGATAATAATATTTCACAAATTTTCCATAGACTGAATTTGTAACCTTCCAAATGAAAGCGTTTATAAACTAATAAATCGGAAATTGTGACATTAAAATAATTAGAAAATATCTGCTGTACAATTAAGTCTCCGCCGTTTGACAAAAAATGTCGCTACCACTAAGTTATTGTTATTGTCTGATGTAAAACGTCATATCCTAAGGTTGGACATCTGCTAACAACATAACCTCGAAATATCACTGATTTTGTGTGAGCATCAGATAATTTTTTTTTTCTTTTTTAGTTCCTTGTACGAAGTAAAAAGGAAGTATTGTAATCGCGAAAAGTTTCAGGCAGCATATTTCAACGAAAATATTCATTTTGACCGATATCGAATGCAATTTAACGATGTTTTTGCGTGATATCTGTACGTAAGGACAGAATAAAAGACTCGTTTCCTCCAAAAATTTATAAAACTGCTTTAAAATTAATTCTGAAGAGAATTTTTTTGTGGCGTCTGTACGAACGTATGTACGTACGTACGTGCGTACATACGTATCTCACATAACTCAAAAACGAGGAGCCTCAGAACGTTGAAATTTTGTATATAGGACTGCTATAACACGTAGATGTGCACCTCGTATTTTGGTTGCAATCGGCCGCACCAAACGTATATAAATATATTTATATATATATCCACTCTGTTACCCGGCTCAGTGATCTCAGTTTCTTTACTCATATATGTTTGTAAATTGTACATTTTTTGCTTTAAAAATGATTGTACTATGTTGTTTTTATCTTCCGGTTAAGGTTTTTATGCCTTTAGTAAATCTGTACGCAATATGTTTAGAACTATCAACAATTTTAAAGTTGTCTAAGTGCAGCTAAGCTTTTTTTTTTTATGGCGGCCATTGATGTTTACATTTGGAACAGGAGACTAGTGGATTTGTTGCCAATCTAGAGAAACATAGCTTCGCAACAACAAAGATAACGCCTTCATTTATTATTTAAGTCATGCTTAATCCTTTCTGGAATTTTTTCGAGGAAATAAGCGTTTCAGATTTACTTCGTAATTTTTAATAT